CAGGCTTTGGTGGCCTTGAACTGACCTGATTCACATACTTATCTATCTAGCCTCTGTAGAAAGAAATATGAGACCCCTCTTTGTACTTCTTGGAGCCAGAAATCTAGAATTTTCTGTGAAATCTCTTGATTTTTAAATGTTACCCCATAACTTTACGAAAGAACTCTTAGGAAGCTTAAAAAGAAGGTGATGAAAGATGGCTCCTCAGGAGGCCATCTTGTCACACCTGGCATAGAGGGTTTAGTATTTTGGTGCTGCGCAAGTTCACAGCTTAAGGAACAGTGGTGGTAGAATGCCTCTGAAGAGGTAAGTCATAACCCAATAAAGAAAGGTCTTACAGGTGTGTTGAATTCTGGGAAGAGCATTGCAAAAGTATGAGATCAGATGTATTATCCTCAAAGAGACTTCTTTGCAGGGTGGTAGGGTTTCACGTGAGGGGTGAGTTGGACAAGGTATATAAGGTCCTTCTACCTCTTTTGTATCATTTCCCCTTTCCTCCTATTTCTTCCTCAGTCTCAAGATTACTGAAGACAAGGAGGGGTCTGATAGGGCCACTTCAGCCACTCCTCCCCATCTTAAAGTTCTTACAGCCTGGGAGGGGTAAAGGCACGCTCCTTTGAAAAGACAGTCTACCTCCCTCTTCAAGCCTCCCCCACTCTTGGAAAATATGGTCTTAAAAGGGCATAAGGGGAGCCCGAGTTATGTCTCTCCACCCTCCCCACCAGCAGGAGTGACCAAATAAAGCCTATCTTTTGCCCTCCAAGCAGCTTCTGCTATTCTATTTCACCAATACACAGAAGTGTGAAATATGAATACGGATTACAGCAACAACTTTCACAAGTTTCCACTACTGCCCACAGTAGGGCCACAGAAATACCTGTTACATCACTGCCATAGAAAATACATATGTGCAACTGAAATAAGTAAAAGTCTTGCAAAACAACACATACTCATACACTATGTGCACTCTCTATTCCGTTCTCTCTCTTTCTCTTTTCATGTGGCCTGTGACTCATTACATCAATTTCAAAACCCTCTAATGAGTGGCTAACCCAGTGCGAAAAACACCTGATTCAGGCTGGAGTTCCAAACCAATATTTACAGTCTCTTATTTTTCAGATAAGATGAATGATATCTACGCCTACAAAAGTAGTAAACAAGATGTCTCTAGAAAAAACAGAGACTTCTCTCTAGTTATTATTTATTAGTTTTTAGAACTAGCTTTCATTTGGAAAGTTGTCCCTAAGTGGGAAAATAATTTTTAAGTTTTCTTAAAAAATAAATGTTTAAATTTTAAGTGATTTACAGAAAAATATTAAATATTAATATAGGAAACATTCAGGTATGTCAAAAATTACAAATATGTCACTCATGTTCTAAAGTGTGGGAAACAGTATCTTGCACCATTCCATAATGAAATAACAAGACTTTATGTTAACTTTCCTTAACATTAGATCTGCTTCTGCAGTTTTTCTAATTAACTCTCAGGAAGTTTAAGTTTCAGAACATGACATGATATCATATTACATTTGGTTTTTCCCCAGCAGCCCTTTAAAACCAAGCTAGTGGGTCAGGTAGATCCCCTGAAATAGGAAATGGCACCCCACTTCAGTATTCTTGCCTGGAAAATCCAAAGGACAGAGGAGCCTGGTGGGCTATATAGTCCATGGGGCCACAAAGAGTCGGACACGACTGAGTGACTGAGCACAGTGCTTTTTCCAAGCCCATGTTGGGCGGTTTTGAGTTCAGCATCTATTTGCAAAGTGATTCCTGCAAATCTTAAGAGGCTGGAGGTCGCCTTCTCTCCTTCAGATCATCACGTGGTCTTTCTCAGTCAGGCTTTCAAGTTAATTATTTCCTGTTTTTCAGAGTCTGCTCCTTATCCCCATTCCCAGGTCACCCTTTATCCTCCCCTCCACACACACATTCTTGGCCACCAGCAGGCAGTTCTGCAGCAAACCCATCTTTGTCTCTCAGTCTGCCCTGGAGCACCCTCCATTAAGAGCCTTGGGGTTTCTTCCAGAGTGTAGCAATGTCAGAGCAAAACTGTGTCATTACTGTAGAATCAAAAGAGCTCCCAGCTTGTTAGTAACATTCTGTGTAACTTACTGACCTTTTGTTCTCAGAGTCCCTGCCTGCAAAGGTACTTCATAAGCCCGTCTCCCTAAATCGTTTTCTCTTTTTGTGACTTTGTATCTCTGTCATCAGCTATGCAGTCACTCCTCTAAGGATTCCCACTGGGCTGGACCCTCCCAGCAGATTTGATCTGTTTTGCCTGAAACATTGTTTCTCTGACTGACTCTCCCTTCCCATCAAGGCCAGGGTCTGTGCTCCTCTATTGTCTTTAACAATACAGGGTGCTAAATTGTGCTGAATACCCCATAGAACCCTCATGCCTAGAAGCCACTTCCTTCCTGTGGTCTTTGTTTCCTCATCCACAGAAATATCAAACTAGCCTTTTATGGTCATTGGCCTTAAGTTCTTCATTTACTTTTCCAATCTTGGCTGAGGTTTTGTCTTAAGTCTCTAATTCAGTCTTGTCTACTTTATTCATCATCCTCTTACCCCAGCCGTTTTTCTCTCCCCTGGTCTCCTCACCAGCAACATCTTTCACTTAGTACAGCTTCCAGGCCATTTATGTACATAGAGATATATATACACACTAATTCAAAATAAGAGAAGGAATTAAAAACACATAAGACTAACACTATTTACAGGAAGCGGGAAGAGCTTCAGAAGCTCCCAGCTGTTCTGGTTGATATGTAGAGTATATTTCACCCTGCAACCTAAATCTTCATCATTCTCAAACACAGTTTATTTTTTTTTGCATGTTGCTATTACAATTGGTATTTATAGAGTATAAACACAGTTTAAACAAAGAAGAGCCTTGATGCTTATTGAGGATTTAGATAACTACTTCCCTGTTAAGAAGAGATTTTAAAAATTCTGTTTTTATTATGACTCCATCTCCATTTATTGATCAGGGGATTTCTTGCCTCACTTAACTCCATAATCTGTTGCTCAGATTAAGAAAATTCGAAAACTATTGTTTGGTAGCATAAGTACAGTCTTTAAAGCGATACCTTGGAGGCTGGATGATTCAAATACTATAATCCAAGAAAAGCAACTGATCATGCAGAACGTGCTTTTATGCATTACTCTTTTTTATGGACTGAGCGTGCAATGAAACGAATCAGATTAAATGTTTTATAGATATGTAGTTACAGAAATAGGAACTTGCTAGTGTAGTAACATCCAGAACACAGTTATACAAGAGGTTGGAAATAACATGTAAAAAACCCTTAAATATATGTCACTAACCATCCAACACATTTTGAGCACCTATTATATTCTTTTTTATCTAAGAAACAATGCTAGGTATAGTAACTTCTCAGATATTGGGAGCAGAAAAATGCCCCTTATTTCAGTAGCTCCTTTCCTATATCCCTACTACCTAGTATCCACCTATGTATATATACTTTGGGGATGAATGAGAGACCTGTATGTTCAGTTTACCTTCTACCCTCCACTTTGCCCTCCCTGCTAGCCACTTTATTCATTAATTCTTTCTCCTGAGGGCTAACAGGTGAGGGAAGGAGGTGAACTTCAGGCCAGTCAGGCATGCTTAGCTACAGAAGCAGTTAAATCTCAGTACAATAAACTTGAAAGACCTGTCTAACTTCTTCAATGTCATTTAAGATTTTGTTCCATCCAACTGATTGAACAGGCCTAACAGTTATGGCTTGAACATCATTAAGACTGATATTTTGGTTAATAGTTATTATAACAATATCAGACCCATCTCTGGAAGATTTTATAGTAAGTTAAACAGTCTGTTTAAAGAACAATGGCAAGGGGACATTAATTCACACAGTACTTACTACATGAGAGTCTCTGAGCTGTGCACTTTGCATGGCTTATCATTTTTATAAGCAATTACCCAGAAAAGTAGAATGCCCATTTTATAGATGTGGAAACTGAAGCTCAGAGCTACTCAGACCAGCCTCTCAGTTTGTAGGGAAAACCCTAGCTAACAGCCTCCAAAGCACAAACGTTTTACAAAGAATTGGAGACCGCTGGCACTTTTCACTAATCTATGCTGTCCACACTTAACATGAGTAATTGAAAGCTGACCTTATGTTCCTTTCAAAAATCTCCAAGGAATCTGGCTGCAGAGACTTTATGGATAACTCATCACAGCAACTGAGAAAAAAAACGCGTTTGTGTAATTAAAAGTCTTTATTTCAACGAGGTTTTTTCCTTCTTATAAAAAGAGAGGAGGCACTCCAGCACTCAACAAGAACCCTCACACAATGAACAAATCTTCACATTGGGTTGTGCTGACTACCGAGGAAATGGTAACAGCATCAGGGCACTTGGGCCTAAGATGTTAAGAGAACGATGTAATGAACAGCTGGGGATTTCTGAGGCACAATTGTGTGACACAAGAAGACCAACTATTGACCATCTTCATTGAGGGAAACTGCTGGGCTCGGGTTTGCTTCAGCAAATCTTGCCCCTCGCCCTCCTCAAGACGGGTATGGCCAGCTACCGCAGCGCCCTTGGCAGCCCGCGCCTTCCGGCCCCCGCGTGCCCGCCAGGGCGGACGCGGCCCGAACGCCGAGGCGCCCCACCCCCACTCCGTGCACGTGACGGGGGGGGGGGGGAGACAGTGTTCCTTCCCTCCTCCCCACCCCCCTCCCCCGAAACCCTGCCTTCTCTTGAGAGGTTACGGCTTTCTATTGCACCACTACTGGAATGACCCCCGTGCCGGCCAATAAGAACGCGCCGCTTCAAGTAAGACCCGCCCCCTGTGGGTCCTCAGGTTCCTTCCCGCTCGCACCGGAGTCACTTCCGAAGAGAGAGAACCGCCATGAAGAGGGAAGGGGGTGCCGCCCACCTCTGCTCCGACAGCATCCCCGAGTCCCAGCAGCAAGACGGCAACCACGCATCCAACTTCTCCAGCTACAGCTCATGCCGCCGTCGCCAGCGGCGCCGACATGACAAGGCGCTGCATGCCCGCTAGACCAGGTTTCCCCTCATCCCCAGCCCCGGGGTCGTCGCCCCCGCGCTGCCATCTGAGACCCGGTAGTAGCGTCCCTGCTGCAGCGGGAAGGAAAACAGAGAGTCCTGGGGACAGGTACCGTGCAGAGGGCTTGAGAAGGGGCCGGGTCGCGGGGGCAAGGGTATGAGGGAGGACTGCGGACGGTCGCTTTTCCAGTTCCCGCCATCCTCCGCGAGCTCAGGCCTCCGCGTCCGGGGCCTGGCAAACCCCTGCCCCGCCTCCACGCGGGGACTGCTGGGAGCTCGTGTCTCCTTTTCTGTAGTTGGGACGGTGTTCTCGGTATAGTGACCACAGCCTGGATGGCTTCGAACCACCCGCCTTAGGTAGAACGTGATTTTTGTCCTTTATTTTAGCTGGACTCTGGGCCCTAACTGCTAAGTGCATACTTAAGTGGTTTTCTTTGCATTGTCAGTTCTCCTGATCCTAGTGTTGAATGGTATAAGCATTTTCTATGTTGTGGGTGAAATTATGTAAGATGAGATGAGGGAAACACTTCCACGAATTGCTTTAAAGTCCAGTATACACGATAAGTCTTAAGTTAAAGAACATGCAGATTAGGAATGTGGTGTTTTCTCTCCAAGAGGCCAGGTTTTCTTGTAAAGATTTTGTTGGAGCTATGTAAAAAGATGGAGAGTTTCATCAAATGACATTCTCTGCCAATAAAACATGTTTAAATTCTCTTCGAACTTGGTACTGTCTTTTTTAAGTTTGAAAACTTGTAATGTTAGTTTAACAGTAAATTTATCTTCTGATATTGTGGTACATGTCCACAACCCCTTATCTTAATTCTGAAAGCCAGAAACTTAAGAAAACGGAAAGTTTCCAGTAAGTTTGGCACCACATGTAACTTGGCAGCCAAACCTGATCAGAACTAGAGGAAGGCTATAATTGGTCTTCTTCCCTTTAAATGAGAGTCTAAGTTTTGCTGGAAAAACATTTACCTATTTGCTTACAGAGTGCAATCTCAGACCCCACTGGGGGCTTTCCATAATGCGTCCAGGTTACCGCCTTTCTAAAATCCAGTAAATTCAGAATTCTAAAACGCATTGGTTCCCAAAAAAGTTTCAGATAAGGGTTTGTGTGCTGTTATAAATAATTTTGTTTAACTAGTTATAAATAAATAATGGACCTTACTGTGCATTTGAATTTAGGGGATTGTTACTTCTTGAAAGTTACATTCATGGTTATTTTCCATGTTTCTTGTGTTATACCCAAAGCCATTTTTCTCCCAGGTGTAATGAACAAAAAGATGTAATACTTTAGGGAAGAGATACGGTGTTACTTTTAGTAATTAATGTAAAAACATTCAGTATTATCTTGTTTTAAGTTAATTAGCTGCTCTTTAGCTCTTTCTCACCTCCCTGTATTCAACCAATAGCAAGGCATTATCCTTCTCCCCTTTGCAAAACCTGTAGTATTTCTTTACTCTGATGTAATTTATTTCATGAAGAAAAAAATGCATAGATTCTCCTTTAGCATTCATTTCAAGGCTGCTTAGCTTTTCTATTAATATCTCAAACAAACATTGTAGACTGTCAGTAAACCCTTAATGATGGGCATTGCTATTCTGATGTGGGTAGTAAAGAGTGCAAGATGTAAAAGCAGCATAAACTTCAGGGACTTACATTGTTCAAGTTTTCTCTGAGCAGTCCAACCTTCTTAGTGGATAAATGTTTAGGGGAACTTGTCTACCGCTTATGCTTATTTTCTTTCAGCTAAAGCGAAGAAATTTTAGGAAAATTTGCCAGAAAGGTGATTTTTTTGCTCTACTTAGTAGTAACACCGCTCTGTGCAGTTGGAAACTAAGTAATGAACAAATCAGAGTACAAAATTCTGGTAATATGGACCTACTTTGTGTTCATTGTAGAGTGCAGAAATCCTTAAAGATTAAAAGTTTGGTTTTGGTTATCCTTTACTCCTTAATGTCTTTTTCTCTGTTTTGTTTTTTTTTCCTGGCAATGTGTTGATTTTGTAAATATCTTAAGAATTCTTAGTAAATTAAGACTTTGAAACACTCCTCATTCCAGTTTTTGCTATTTAGATTAACATCCCACTGTAGTGTATAAAGAATATAGTATAAGGTTAGAACTTTTTCTGCCTTCTGCTCAGCACGCTCTTTAGCTGCCTCTCCAAACCAGCAAAATCACCCATATTTGCCATTCTACCATCTACTCTTCTTAAGAGTCTGCTCAGGTTTTAATCGGTTTTTATAATCTCCATTATTCATTCAGCAAACATCTCTAGAACAAATTTTGTACCTGTCACTGGAGATATCAAGGAATAGGATCAGATCCCTTCAGATTCTTCTATTCTTCCACATAGCAGCAAGCCTTTCAGTGCTAATTGAAGCCTTTCCAATTCCTTAGATCCACACTCCAGTCTTATCATTTTTGTACTAAAAAGTATATAAACTTCAGTTTTGCTGTTATAAATTTACTCCTACAGGAACTATATTTAAAAAAAATTTTATAATCAGCTTAGCAAAGTAGTATTGTCAGAACATGATTAAGCCTCTAGTCTGTAAATCTACTAGTATTCTCAACTTAATCTGAATTATTGAAGTTTTAATATTTGCCAGTGTGATTCCATATTAGTTATGCTTTTATTTTCAGGAAACAGTCAATTATAGATTTCTTCAAACCAGCTTCAAAACAAGGTATGTATACTGTTCATGCATTTTTTGTGGGATCTTTTGGGGAGGGAGATGGAGTCAGTTTTTAAATCTACTATAAACTTACTAATTTGATTAAACAGGGTGTTCAAAATTGAAATTATAAAGAAGATAGAGTGTTGTTAACAAAGATAAACAAGTTCTAAAATCATGAAGAAACTCTTTGCTGTTATGCTTTCTTACATTTAAAAGATTCAAGTCAATAATGTTCATTAAGTATACTATTTTGATTCTGGGTTAAAGTAACTTCATAAATAGAACCATGGAGAACATGATGTGGTGAAAGAGAGCTTTATGAAAGTAAGGCTTTAAAATCATGTCTTAATTTCTCCCCCCGTAAAATGTGTATCATTATTTAAATATAAATTTGAAAACATTTGTGATAGCTTAATATTTTAAGTGTTAATTTATAATATTTATACAAGTGTAATAGTTTGTGCTATTTTTAATAACATACAATGTGCATTTGTTTTAATTGGCTATTCAGATAGACGTATGTTGGATTCTCCACAAAAATCGAACATCAAATATGGAGAAAGTGGATTGTCCATCAGTGGGACAGAGCAGTTTGAAAGGAAACTATCCTCACCAAAAAGTTCTAAACCCAAAAGAGTGCCATCAGAAAAGAGCCCCGTCTTAGAGGCATTCATAAAAGGTGTTAAAAAGCACCATAGAGACCATGGTGTACATGAGTCACGTCAGCCTTGTGTGTCACTGGACACCAAATATTCAAAGGCAGTTACAAAATACGTTCCTCCTTCATATCTCTTGTCAAAAGAGACCAAGAAAAAACATCAGTCTTCAGAGGGAAGGAAGTCACATTTCATTCATGAAAATAGCAGGGAGAAGAATGATGGCAATCGAGGCAGGATCAGTGCAGATTCTAAGAAGCAGGCCACGGTGACAGAAGCTGACATCTTCAAGAACAGCTCCCGAAGTCTTAGCAGCAGGAGCAGCCTATCCAGGCACCACCCAGGAGAAAGCCCACTGGGAGCTAAGTTCCAGTTATCTCTAGCTTCTTACTGCAGAGAAAGAGAACTAAAGAGATTGAGAAGGGAGCAAATGGAGCAGAGAATCAACTCAGAAAATTCTTTCTCAGAAGCAAGCAATCTTTCCTTAAAATCTTCTAGTATAGAAAGAAAATGCAAACCAAGGCAGGAACTGAGTAAACAGAATGATGTCACACCTGGAAACAGTAATCTTTCAAACCTGGTATGTGCAATAAATGCTAAATTTGCTTGCTACTGTTTTATCATATTTAGAATACTAAATATAAAAATGTTTGATAACAATACGGTGCCTTTTGTTAGGGAAATACTGATACAGAAGCTAGTTTCATTAAGTTTCCTCCAACTGTCCATCAAAACATTTCTGATGGCTGACGTAAAGCAGTGTTTTCTGCCCTTAAATTTTTCAGACCAGGAACAAAGATGTTCCTTAGTCAGGAAAATAAGCATTCTTTTTTTATTTTAAGGTGAGTACAGTTATTTTTAAATTAGGCTGCCCTAAAATTTGAGAATCACTGGTTTATGTTATGTATGTCTTAATTAAGTATGGGCCCTGGAAAACCTACAAAATGATGGCATCTTAGAAAACTATCCAAATACATCTTAAGCTCATCAGATTTCTCTTTTGAGAATAGACCAAACTTAGATTAGCGTAAAAACTGTCCCTCTCCCCTGGAAAGTCAAGCTGTTAAGTGTACCTTGTTTCAAAGAGCTTCTCTACGTATTGAGCAACTAAAGGAAGATGAGATAACAAAGTGCTATGTTAATATAAGATGCTATAGTTTTAAAACCAGATGGACCAAAAATAAATCGAACTATGACTTTATAAGAGTGAATAGCTGGAAATATATTTGTAAACTCATGGGTTTATTTGCAAGGACTTTGGTGCCTTTACCAGTGAGATTTGCTAATGATCAATAGAGGTAGTAATGTTTGGTTCATTTTCATAAGATTTCAATGTTTGGTGATGCATTAGTACCTAAACAGAAGTATTGAAGAGGGAGTTGTACCTGTTTGATTGGCAAATATTAGGCTATTTCTTTATTAAAATAAATAGTATAGTGCTCTAGTTTTAATCTTGAGCTATTAATAAAAATTACTAAATTTACATTATGAAAACTGACATTTTTACATATAATACAGAAGTACTTCATTTTTCAGAAAAAAACTTGAGTTTAAAATATTTTGCTGTAGAAGTTTGGATTTATCTCCAAATTTGATGCTTACTTTATTCAGTCTAGAAATCTTTGTTTAAATATAGTGAAGAAAAGTTCATATTCTTGACTGCTCTCAACTCCTAATTAATATTTTCTCATTTTGCTAATAGGAAAACGGACATCTCTCAAGAAAAAGATCCTCTTCTGATTCATGGGGACCTGCTTCAGGTAGAATCAAAATAAATTTTAAAATTCTAAATAAATTTGTGTCTTAATGGCACTGGTTTTTGCTTTGTTTAAATGTACAGTTTCCTTCCTAGAGGTAAATTGGGTGTCTCAGGTTAAAGTTTGGGAAAGTTATATTAAGAAGGAATAGTTCTTGAATTCAGTATGTATAAACAGTAGTTTGTCTTGACTCTTCTCTGCCTTCTTCAACAGTTCCTTACAATGTGTTTCTCATATTGGAATTCAGTGTTCTGAATCTTTGGCTACATTAAGAAGCATAATCTTACATTCTTGAATTATGGACTGAGGTCTTGATATTGCAGATGCTTTGTTTAAGTGTGAAACTTATGGTTCAAGACAATGTTTCTTAATATTTCAGATATAAAGACCCCTTTTTATTATCAAATTCAAGGACACCTACATGATACTCATTTATACTTTCAGTATCTGTTGATAAAATACATAACAAACAGCTACTGTTAATTCAGTAGTTCTTAAAGTATTCTTTTTAACTAGAAGATAAAACCCTGTGAAATTCAACCACCACAAAAGTTTATAACATAGAAAAAGAAAGGCCCCCAAAAATGCCCACTGTTAATAATAATCTGGTATATCTCGTTTTTTTCTGCTGTGACTGCAAACTTTGAAAAGCGGGCTTTACAGATTTCCACAATCAGTAAGATACATTGGATGTACTGATAATAGCCAGCATTTACTGAGCACTTACTGTGTGCTTTGTGAATCATCATTTGATTCACATCCTTGCTTTTAGAGATGAAAAAACAGGTACAAAGAGACAGTTTTGACTCATTCTTCTTCTGATTTCATGTAGAACTCTGTTTTCTGTACATTCTAGAAGTGTATTGCATTTTGACCAAGTGATCTGTGTTGTTTGTTTTAATTTTTACAACAATTTTGGTTTTAGTGATCACATTTTAGTGGATTTTAACATTACAGTAAAAGAACAATAAGTTCTCAGCCGTGAGATTGCTTGTGTACTCACTGTTAACATATTTGTCGAATGGAAAAACAAGATATCTTTACACTAGCTCTGTTAGTATAAGGGGCCACTGGTGATGATGTTGCCAAAAAAGCTGTTCAGCATTTTTTTCTCTGATAATGACTAAGATAGTAGTTCTCTTCAGTTCATGGGTTTGCAGATTTCACTAGTGGTGACTGAAGCAATTTCCTTTTATATAATCCCATATACTGCTCTTCTTGAAAACCGCTTGAAAAAGGTTCGTTCTTTCTATTTTCAGAGGCAGTTTTAAAATTATTTCTTTCACTTATATTTTTATTTTCATAATCCCCATTAATAATTATGGTATAATAACCTTAGTATACATTTATACTTCAATTGAATATCAATAGACTATAAAGAGAATAAGGGGATTTTTTTTTTTTTTCTAGATAACATGAAGCATGTTTATCTGGTAGTGAATTTGTGGTTGTTCATTCAGTAAATCGTGTCCAATTCTTTCCAACTCCATGGACTGCAGCACACCAGGCTTCCTTGTTTTTCACTATCTCCCAGAGTTTGCTCAAACTCTTGTCCATTGAGTTAATGATGCCATGCAACCATCCCATCCTCTGTAGCTCCCTTCTCCTGCTCTCAGTCTTTCCCAGCATTAGGGTCTTTTCCAATGAGTTGGTTCTTCATATCACATGTGAGTATTCCCTACATAGTGAATAGATATTAATCCAGATGTTATGCTATATTTATATTATTGTTGTTACACTTAATAGTTGTGATAATATACATAATCACACATTCATTAATCACATACAAGTTCAGGGACTTCAGAAATGTTGGTAGGATGGTCATTTAGCTTATTGATCTTGCAGAGCCCTGTCCTATGGTTGAATTCTGAGGATCAACTTAATCCCTCTGTAATTTAGTCTATTATATTATTTAGTAATAGCCAATCTTCTATTGAGCATTTGGATTTTTTCTTTTTACAAACTCAGTCCTTGTCTTATCTGAGTATTTTCTATATTAATAGGTATTTGAAATGTTGTAAAGCATTCATTCAACCTAAAGATTATACAGGAAACACAAAAAGAATAATGAAGACTTGTCTTCTCCAAGTCTTCTCTTTTCTTGGTTATTTGATTTGTCATCCTGCCCTATAAGGGATCCCTGTCATTTTAAGACATTTAACCCCAGAAAACTGAGAGCATGGAATGATTTATCAGCTAATAGGAAATACCTGTAGAAGAATGCAGACAGGAGCTCTTGGGGATTGAGTTTGTTTTTGTTTAAATTTATTAGCTGTACCAGTCTTAGTTGTAGCATTGTGGGATCTAGTTCCCTGACCAGGGATTGAACCCAGGCCACCTGCATTGGGAGCCCAGTCTTAGCCACTGGACTACCAGGGAAGTTCCCCTGGGTTGGTTGGTTGGTTGGTTTTATATAAATTTGCTAATTTATGGCTGCACTAGGTCTTCAGTGCTGTGCAAAGGCTTTTCTCTAGTTGGCAGCGAGTGAGGGCTACTCTTCAGTTTTGGTGCTTGGGCTTCTTATTGCAGTGGTTTCTTTTGTGGAACACAGGCTCTAGGGCACAGGGGCAGCAGGTGTGGCAGCTGGGCTCAGTAGTTGCGGCACACAGACTGTAACTCCACAGCATGTGGAATCTTCCCAGACCAGGGATCAAACACACGTCCCCTGCATTGGCAGGCAGATTATTAACCACTTGGACTGCCAAGGAAGTCCCAGAACATTTGATTATTAATTAATTTTTCATTCTTATATATTGATTTTCCAGGCTGTGTATTGATAAGCTTATCCAAATAATTGCTTAACTCTTGAGTTTTTTTGTTTTTTAAATCCAACTTGAGATGTGGGGACATCTGTCCATATGTAGAAACTTGGTTTAGGGAAATTTGATTTTGAGTATACTAATTATATAGTGAATTTTTCAGAGTGAATTAATGAAACATCACATTTTAAAACGGAAATTAAAAAAAAAACTGGTTAATTCATGTACATGTGGTGTTTAAAATTAAAGTGCTTCTGGACGGAGTTCCTAACACAGAGTCAAGTTGTATTAGTTTCCTCGAGCTGCCATACAAAGTGTCTAAAACTAGATGGCTTAAAACAACAAAAATTTATTGTCTCATGATTCTTGAAGCTAGAATTCTCCAACTAAGGTTATCAACAGGGCCATGCTCTCAATAACTCTCAGGGAAGAATCCTCCCTTCCTTCTTCCAGCATCTTGTGTTTATCTACAATTCTTGGCATTCCTTGATTTGCAGGTGCATCACTCCGGTCATATGGCATCTTCTTTGTATGTGTCTTCATATTTTCCCTCTGCATGTCTTTCTCTGTGTCCAAATTTCCCCTTTTTATAAGGACACCTGTTACATTGGATTAGGACTCACCCTAATGACATCATTTTAATTTGATTGCCCTTATAAAAACCCTGTTTCTAATTCAGGTCACAGTCTGAGGTTCTGGGAGTTAACACTTCAGCATATTATTTTGGGAGCTACAGTTCAACCCATAACACAGCTGAGGATTAGAAAGATAAATGGGGAAGAATAAAATAGTAGGGGGAAATACTTACAGGAATTTTTTAATTGAGAACTTACCTTTCCTTGATATAGATACACAGCTTTTTAGTGTTTTGGCAAATAACACCTTTAATTCTATTTAGGTAATAAACTTTTAATAGCTTTTGAGTGAAAATGAGCATTTATCATTAGCTTTGATATGAGTATGTCAAAGAAATAAATACATTATTAACTTTTTCCTCATTCCATATGTGATATGGAATATAATATAATAGTAACTTTTTCCTCATTCCATATGTGATAATCTCAGCCTAAGCTTTTAGAATTTAAATACTTTGTCAGGGTGTTCTAGACACTCTTTGAATAAACTTTAATAAGATAGAAAAGTATACTTCCACTAATCTGGCAAAAATTAAATTTTAGCAGGCTCTAAGCAGAATAAATTCCCTGACAAAAGAAAAAGGAATTCTGTGGACTCAGATCTGAAAAGCACAAGAGAATCTATAATGCCAAAAGCAAAAGAGTCGTTCCTTGAGAAGCGTCCTGATGGACCACATCAGAAAGAAAAATTTATAAAACATATTGCACTGAAGACACCTGGTGATGTATTGCGCTTGGAAGATATATCCAAGGACCCAAATGAAGAAGCTGATTGCTCCTCTGCAAACTTGACACCAACAAATTCTGGGCACCATTCTTCCAGGAGTAGTGACCAAATCCGTGTGGCAAGTACCAAAGAGACTAAGATACCGAAACCCCACTTATCTTTACCTCAGGAAAAGTCTGCAGTTAAAAAAGCTAGCAACCTTCAGAAAAATAAAACTGCTAGCTCTGTGTCATCACAGGAGACAAAACTTCTACCTTTGCTTTCCCATGTTCCAAGTGCTGGTTCCTCTCGGGTTCCATTAAATGCTAAAAATTGCACTCTTCCAGTTCCTAAAAAAGATAAAGAGCGTTCTTCACCTAAAGAATGTTCTGGGCATTCTACAGAGTCCTCCACACACAAGGAACACAAAGCAAAGACTAATAAGGCTGATTCTAACATATCTTCAGGGAAAATTTCTGGGGGATCTTTACGTTCAGAATATGGCACTCCTACAAAGTCTCCCCCAGCTGCTTTGGAAGTTGTGCCATGTATTCCAAGCCCACCAGCACCTTCAGATAAAGCCCCTTCAGATAAAGAGAGTTCAGGAAATTCTAATGCAGGTAGCAGTGCACTGAAAAGGAAACTAAGGGGTGATTTTGATAGTGATGAAGAAAGTTTAGGTTATAACCTAGAGAGTGATGAGGAAGAGGAAACATTAAAATCACTGGAAGAAATAATGGCTTTGAACTTCAATCAGACTCCTACAGCTACAGGAAAGCCTCCGGCTCTTTCTAAAGGGCTTAGATCTCAGTCATCAGACTATACAGTAAGTAGTTCTACGACATCTATCTTTACTTGAAGAGAGAAAAATGGATTGACTAGTGAAAGAGTGATAGATTTGTTAGAATTTACTTTAAAATTCAGTGTTTGTTACAACTCAGACTGAAAGCAGTATAGTTCGTTTTTGGTGAATGGGTTTCCCACATTTTTAGCTTTATAACTGTAAATCAGTGGTCTCCAAACTTCTTTGATCAGACACACTTTTATTAGTAAAACAAATTTAGAGCATGTACCCCAATATATATGTATACTTATAGATTATATACATGTACTAATATACTACTATGTACTTTCTAAAGTATATGAAAAAAACAGAATTTGAAAGGAAGAAGAAAAAGTATTTTTCTATAGAAGTTATATAGAAGTTACTATAGAGTAAGTTCTATTGGAGTTTCTATAGAAGTTCCATATAAATAGAAGTTCTATTATTTTCTTCCTGCACCCCAATGGATCACCTTGCACACCCCCTGCTTTGGAGACCACTGCTGTAAATGAAGGTAGAGTGTAGAAATGTTGTTAATTGTGGTGTGCAGTTTTATTTATGAAGTGCTTCATTCTATCTTGGGAATAAGCTGAATTAAATTTTCATATGTGTGTAAAATTTGGTGGGGAAGGTGTTACTGTTTCATAGTAACACCTAAAAATTAGTAGTTTAATTCCAGTAAAGTAGAATTTAAAAATAAAGACAGGGTAGCCATGGAGCCCTTGGGTGTTGGCAGTCAGTTCCTAAGACTAGCAGGGTTTTTATAAGTAGTGCCTTTTCCTAATAGATGGTAAAATCAAATTGCCTGCACTACAAAATTCTCAATTTAAAGCATGATGGTGAAAATAATTTAAAAAATATATATATCCTCCTGGCCCAGGTTATTGAAAAAGAAATAATTTTTTAGTTTTTGAGTAACTTAAAGAATCCCAGTTCTTCTGCTAAGATATGTTATGAAGTATTCCTGAATTTTCTTCTTATTTTAGGAACATGCTCATAGTGGGACTTACACAAATACTTTAGAGCGTCTAGTGAAGGAGATGGAAGACACACACAGGTAGGTTAGCATCCTCACTGTCTTGCTAAATTTAATGTACTGTTTGTATGACTGACTTTTAATTTACCTTTAAAAAAAAAAAGAAATTAGCAGGTATTTTGTGCTAGTGCTATTACAGTTTCACGGTCATTTGTGTTAAAAAATAAGGTGTTTTTGTTTACAGGCTGTATCAGAAGATCCTGGTTTTTATGGTATACTGCATCAATTAGTAGTATGAATTCCTTTCTGCTTACCAGAGCTAGTATCTGGTAGCTAAAATTCTTGATCAAAAGCATGGGTAGAAAAGATTTTTTTGTATTTTGTGTGTGTGACCAAAAATATAACACATAAAATTGACCGTTTCAATTATTTTTAAATACTCACAGTCGTTACCTAGCACTCATTTGCATTGTTGTGCAACCATCACCACCATCCATCTCCGGAACTTTTTTTCCCCTCCATTTTCCCTAACTGAAATTTTATACCCATTAGACAGTAACTCCCTAGTCTCTCCTTGCCTCTAGCTCCTGGCAGCTACAACTCTTTCTTTTACTATGAAGTTGACTGTTCTGGGTACCTCATGTAAATGGAATCATACAGTATTTGTCCTTTTATGACTGGCTTGTTTTATTTAGTGTAAGGTCTTCAGGGTTCATCCATGTTGTAGCATGTGTCAGAAATTCTGTCCTTTTTAAAGTTGAATAAAAAAAAGAAAAGTTGAATAATATTCCGTTGTATGTATATACCTCATTTTGTTTATCCATTTATCTGTTGATTGACACACTTGGGATGCTTCTATTTTTTGACTACTGTAAATTTTTCTGCTATCAACATGGGTGGACAAATTCTCTCGTCAAGTCCCCACTTTAAGTTCTTTTGCATATGTATCTAGAAGTGGAATTTCCGGATCATTTGGTAATTCTATCAATAATTTTTTGAGGAATTGCTATGCTGTCATTCATAGTGGCTGTACCATTTTGTATTCCTGCCAGTAGTGCACATAGGTTTCAGTTTTCCCACATACTCACCAACACTTGGTTTTTCTGATTTTTTAAATGATAGCCATCCTCTAACAAGTATGAAGCAGCACCTTCATACTTGTTAAATGTTTGTATGCCCACCTAGTCCAAGTTTTGAAACCAGTATAACTAGACATGGCGTTTTCACATCAAGTTACTCTTTTGAGGAAGAAGTTTAGAATTATGACTGATAACCACCACCACCCACACATATACAGAAATCAAAAAGTTTGAAAATTATAATAACCCTAATGAAATTTATGTAACTAGTTGCAAACTGCTTTTGCTTATTAGAGGGAAAAAATAATATTCCTTATTAATTCAAAGACTATCCTTAAAAATAACTCAGAGAACTTCACTAAAACCTCAGCTGGCCTGAAGTTGGTATATATGTGTCTCCAAGTACCTAAGTATAGGAATTACAGACAATTAGTAAGTAAGTACTATTCCCCTTTCTGAGTTTAACAGAGAAATAAATTTGTCTCTACTGTAAAAGTCTTTTGATGGAGTGGTGTGCATTGCACAGCATATAGGATCTTAATTCCCCAACCAGAGGTTGAATTGGTGCCTCCTGCAGTGGAAGCATGGATTTGTAGCCACTGGACCACCAGGGAATTCCTGTCTACTATAAAATTCTTTTAAAGTTTCATGATTTCATGTGATTTCTGAGGTCAAATCTGAAGTTTCTCATTTAAAATTGAACATTCACAGACCAAGGGAAGAGATTCTGGTTTGATCTAATGATTCTCCTGTAGTGATAAAGCGGTGCGTTTTCTCATGTACTGTGGGGCTGGAGCTAGGAATAAGGACCTTGGTTAAAATAACTTAATCTTGGCAAGCACTCTGAGCAAGGACTCCAGAACTGGCCTCTCTAGTTGAATCCCAGCTCCTTTACATTGTGAGCTTGAGCAAGTTAGCTTTTCTATATGTGTTTCCTTGTTGCGTAAAATGGATAATGATAAACTACTTCCTGGGGTTGTTGTGAGGGTTAAGAGTTAATAAAGTCCTTAGGACAGTGTCATAGTAGCTGCTTAGTAAGTGTTGAGTGTTGTGATCATGACAGTGACAAGGGTAAAGACTACTGCTTCCTGAAAGGCTAGTTAACTGGAAGTCAAAGGGGCATTTAAGATTAGAAGGGGTAATCAAGTCAGTAGTTTTCATTCTTTGTGATTTTTTTCTTCTCCTTTCTATAAATGATTTGGACATCATTGCTGAAATCCTGTGTGGGTGCATGCTTAGTCGTGTCCAACTCTTTTTGACCCCATGGACTGTAGCCCATCCGGCTACTTGGTCCATGGAATTTCCCAGGCAAGAATACTGGACTACCCGGGTTGCCATTTCCTTCTACAGGGAATCTTCTTGACCCAGGATTGAACTCTGGTCTGTTGTGTCTCCTGCGTTGGCAAGTGGATTCTTTACCCACTGAGCCATCCAGGAAGCCCTCTTAAAGTCCTAGCCATAAAGAAATAGTAAGTCTGTTAATGAGTTTTTGTAGGTACTGCTTTTAGACATAAACTAAAGATTTTTTATTTTTAGGTTAAGCCATTTATTATAACGTTCTTTTGATTCTCAGGCTAGATGAACTGCAGAAGCAACTACAGGAAGACATCAGGCAGGGCCGAGGCATTAAATCCCCAATCAGAATTGGTGATCACGACAGTACTGATGATGAAGATGGCCTCTTAGAAGAGCACAGGTATGTGGGGAATTAGTAAACAGCTAGAAATGCTGGTGCATAACTAGACTTGTCATGGTGATCATTTTGAAATGTATAGAAGTACAAAGTCACTATGTTGTGTAACAGGAAGTAACGGTGTTGTAGGTCAGTTTTACCTCAAAACAAACCACAGAAGAAGATCAGATTTGTGATTACCAGAGGCAGAGGGTTCAGAGGAGGGAGGGATTGGATGAAGGTGATCACAAGGTACAAACTTCCAATTATAAGATAAATAAGTACTAGGGGTGTAATGTACAACATGAGAAATAAGGTTAACACTGTTGTATGTTGTAGTGAAAGTTGATAAAAGAGTTTTTGTACCAGTATAAGATGGTGGATGTTCACTAAACTTGTGATAATCATTTCAAGATGTATGTAAGTCACATCTTTATGCTGTATATTTTAAACTTATACCATGCTGTATGTCTATTATACCTCAATAAAACTAGATAAATAAATCATTCAGAGGAAAAAGCACTCAGGTAGTGTTTTTCATAAATACACTCTTAAAAATACATTTAAAATTTTGTTTTTCATAAAATAAATGGACCATAGGTGGTGGTTTACTTTATGAATAATACATGGTGGGTTCTTAATCCATCTGGGGTGGACTTGAAAGGCAAATGTTAAGGCTAAGTTACATTTCCTTGTCTTTCTTCCTAGTTTTTCCTTTTGCACAGACACATTTAGTGGCTTTGCACTATTAACTACTAGCAAAAAGTGGGAGGGACAGAACATGTGTTCTCACGTTCGCCTTCTAACTAGGGTTAATAGTGGTCCTAAGAGAAGGGTTTTTTGCATCCAGTTTTTAAATACAAAACTATATGCAGTATAGCTGTTCAGTACTCAATAACTTTTTTTTCTTTTTTCCCAGAGAATTTCTAAAGAAATTTTCAATTACAATCGATGCTATTCCTGATCATCATCCAGGCGAAGAAATATTTAATTTCCTTAATTCTGGAAAAATTTTCAGTCAGTATACTTTGGATTTGAGAGACTCTGGTTTTATCGGACAAAGTGCTGTAGAAAAGCTTATTCTTAAGTAAGTAGGCAAATAGACATTTTACTTTTTCCTATATAAGAATTAAAAGATTACTGACTTGATGCACTTCTTCTGAAAGGTTAATTTCTATTATGACTTATCCCATTTCTTAGTCATCTTATTACTGTTGCTCTTTGTGTTTATTAATTACAGGAAGCAGTGTAATAACAAGAGCTTACACGAGAAATATAGTCTTTCTTCACCATCTTTAGCACTTGGTTGCTTCAGGCGCTACTGGAGCTCCAACCTTTACACTTAAATTCCCAGAAACCCCACACAACATTTTAACTTAGGTTTAGTTGGGTAGAACTTGGTCAGCATGGCCACACCTAGTGGCAAGGAAGCCTGGGAATGATTTTTTATTTCAGGCAGCCAGTATGCCCAGCTAAAAACCCCAGAATTCATTTACCAAGAGGAAGGACATGAATAGATGTCAGAAGAGGCAACTGACAGTCTCTACCACAATACCCAGACTAGTCTAATTTCTCTCATTGCATGGTTGTTCAGACCCAAAGAGAGAGAGCACTAATTCTGGTGCTGAACTTTTTGGAAGTACAAACCCAGGCTGGCAAAAGCAGACAGTGTTCTGAGACTTGATAAGCTCTTTAACACTGCCGGCTAATATAGATTCATCCACCAGATAAATCTGGAGCCAGGTCAACAGGTTGGTTCAGTGTGAGGGCATTGATTGAATTTTTTAATGAGTAACCTATTGACATTAGGGCAGAGTCCACCTCCACAGACTGCAATGGTTTGCTTGTTCATTTCCCTGATGTCAGATGTGGTGGTACCAGTTTCTTGCCATGAATATAGCAGTCATATTGATTTCACTGTATTTTTTCAGATCAGGAAAAACAGATCAAATTTTTTTGACAACACAAGGCTTCCTTACCTCAGCTTATCACTATGTCCAGTGTCCTGTACCTGTGTTGAAGTGGCTATTTCGGGTAAGAGAAATGTTTTTGAGACATCGTCTCTTGCTATACTTTTCAGTCAAAAGTAAACTTTTAAAATATAATCTTATTTGCATATTGCTAAAGATAAAACATTCAATGTATCAAACCCATGATTTTAGTGGGTTAAAAGGAAGCAAAAAGACTGATATAAAGAGGTTACCAGGACTTCTTGGGTGGTACAGTGGATAAGAATCCACTTGCCAGTGCAGGGGACATGGGTTCTGATCCCTGGTCTGGGAAGATTGCACATGCTGCTGTGCCACAACTGCTGAAGCCCACATGCCATAGAGCCTGCACGCCTCAGCTGCTGAGCCCAGGTGTGGTGCAAATACTGAAGCCCAAGTTCCTAGAGCCTGTGCTCTGCAACAAGAGAAGCCAGCGAAATCCAAGCATCACAACAAAGAGTAGCCCTTGCTCACCACAACTAGAGAAAGTTCTGCATGCAGCAACAAAGACCCAGTGCAGCCAGTAAACGAATACAAATTTAAGGAAAAGGTTTGCCAAAGAAATGCCAATGTAGACCGTATGCAGGATAGGCAGTACTGCTAATTGTGCCTAAGACATTTCATCACACTGGTAAATCACTATTGTAGTTCACTGTAGAAAAGGTCTATTAATCTAATGCTTATGTACCTGGAGTTTTTCTCCTTTTCCCCCTATTTTTGTGCCAGCAGCTCCATACATTGTTAGGATTTGAATTGTATGCTAATATTCCCCCCATTCATATTTGGGGAGGTGCAAATCCAACTGAGTATTTCTCTCCCCTGTTCATATTTAACTTCTAAATTTATTTTTGGCTGCACTGGTTCTTTGTTGCTGTGTGGGCTTTCTCTAGTTGTGGTGAGTGGGGGCTACTCTTCTTGATGTTCGAGGGCTTCTCTTTTGAGGGGCACAGGCTCTAGGGTGCACAGGCTTCAGTATTTGTGGGTCGTGGGGTCTGGAGCACAGGCTCAGTAGTTGTGATGCACAGGCTTAGTTGCTCCACGGTGAGTGGGATCTTCCTGGACCAGGGATCGGACCCTTGTCTCTTGCATTGTTAGGTGGATTCTTATCCACTTCACCACCAGGGAAGTTCCATATTTAACTTTTAAATCCACTTAAATAATTACCTTAATTCTGTGATAGCCACATGGTAACTTTATAAATATCAGTGGTATCAGAGAACTACTATATGTATGAAGCGAGAAGTAAGGGAAACATGCAGTTTCTATTTTGGACTTTTAAGATTGCATTTCAAAAAATCTCATATTTGGCAAGAACTAGATACTTCAGTGTAGTTTCTCATTCATTTTTCATATAGCTGGCATATTTGAATGCCAGCTGTGCCAGGTACTGGAGAGAGCAGTAATAAAAAAACTTTCTGATTTCTTGAAACCCTTGTTCTAGTATAGAGGAGAAAGACCGTAAATGTGTGTACATTTATATTAATAGATATGTCAAATGATAAATGAGAGAGGAGCATTCTAGGCAGAGAGAATAACAGGTGGGACAGACTATGGGGTAGGAACATTTGCTTCCTGTGGTGAGTTGCTCACTTCTTGGATTCCAGTGATTTTTTTTTTTTTTAACAATCCTAATTAAATCAAAATTTGCCTCCAAATATTTTTTATCTAGTAGTACTAATTATCTTTTCTATAGCTCCCCACAATATACCTCATCTAACAGTCCTTCAGTTATTTTAAACAACTATCATGACTCATCACTTCCCACACTAAACATTCTCAAGTCCCTTTACCGGTCATCCTTCTGAATGACCTTTAGCTTGTCACTTTCACTCCTAAATTGTTCTTTGTTCTCCCCAATAATGAACAAGTGCTCCATATAAGATCTTTATTGCCAGCAGTTTCCGGCAAGACTCTACCCATCAACCCCCTCCCCCAGATATTTATAACAATTCAGAACCTCTGTTGTCAGGCCAGGACTCCATTATTCTCTGTGTAATATATTTTTTCTTAAACTTAAAAGTAAGACTTTGCATTCATCTGTGTTTTCATCATGTTGATGTGGGCCCATCATTACAGCCTTTAAAACCCTAATAATGACATACAAACATACCTTCATGTAAGCAGTTTTTTATACTTTTCATATTTATTTGAAAAGCTAATCATTTGTGCTTTTTTCCATGTAAGACACTTTGTCTCATTTCTTCTTTTCAATTCCAAGTCTGTTTTTCATGATGGAGACACTTACCAACTTATATATATATTTTTTTTTCCCCCAGAAAATGTGTCAGAATTCATTTTAATCCTATAATCCTAATAGTTTGAAATTGAATTGTTAAAGTAATTGAAATGTTTGCCTCTTCATGATCTTATCATGTGTCTAAGTGTAGTTGACCAGAAAGACAATGTGAACAGAATATGGGCTGTTTTATAAGGTTTTTTTTTTTCAGATAACTATAAATTATTGAGTTATTTTCATCTTGATATAGACATGTTATCATTCTTATTAATCGCTTTATAAGTATTCCTTTGTAGTGCTATATCATGATTGATTTATTTAACCCAATCTCAATTGACAGACATTAGATTGTTTTTATATATATCTCTCTACTTATTTATCTCCAAGTTCTGTATTGCCACCAGGCTTTCCTGGTGGCTCATCCAGTAAAGAATCCACCTGCAATGTGGGAGACCTGGGTTGGGAAGATTCCCTGGAAGAGGGAATGGCTATCCACTCCTGTATTCTGGCCTGGAGAATTCCAAGGGGTCGGAAAGAGTCGGACACAACTGAGAGCTTTCACTTTCACTGTATTGCCCACCTTAAAGTTCATCGCCCCCTACAAAAAGGTTGTTTATCTAGAACTTGTCCTGTAACCAGGAGGCCTTTGATTCTGCCCCTGCTGGCAGTATGTAATGACTCAAACATCATAGCAGAGACTTCTTTTCACATAGGTTGATTTTGAAATGACACAAGTTATATGCCTGACTGAAACCAGAGTTTAGGCTATTCATTCTTACATTTTAGATTTAAATTTAATATAATCTGTGGTTCCAAAACAAAAGAAATAGAAGCATGATATGTGTCCTCTACAAAACCACTTTAAAATAACTTTCGATATGTTATGGTTTTTTTAATGTCTGTTAAACTTGAGATTTTATTCCCAAAAGTTGTCTTGTAGAAATGACACTAATTATATGCTTCCGTATGTTAATTTTTGTACATAAAAAAGCCTGAGTAGATCAAAGTATGAGGACAATGACTTTGCATAAACATTACCAAATTAAAAAAAAAAAAAATTACCAAATAGCCTTTACAGTTTTTACCAAATCACACTCAAATTGGGCATACTACCTCTTTCCTAGTACTCTTGTGAATACTGAGTATTAATTATCACAACTCCTGATTTTTACCAATCCTGAAGTCAACTAATGATATGTCTTTTTTTTTTTTGCATTTCTTTGATTATTAGTGATATTGAGTAGCTTTTAAAAATTCACATTGACTTATTAATTTGTGTATTTATAGAATATTTTTTACTAGTTCATGATATGATTTTTGCCCATGATGTGATGATCAGCTTAGTAGCCTCCTTTATGGTCTTCTGGTTTCATGGTATGATATGAACTAGAAATGTACTTTTGATCATTTTAAATATTATATTTAATTATAAGTGAAAGTTGTAAAAAAAGGAAAAGCAGTGTGTTAGAATGGAAAGGGCTCTGACTTATGAATCAGATATGTGTTTAAATTCCAACTCATGTATTATGTTGGGTGGAGTATGTTAATCTCTCTGACCGTCTTTGTTCATTCTTCTCTCTCAATACACTTTTTCTACTTTCAACAGATGATGTCAGTTCATACAGACTGTATTGTATCTATGCAGATTTTAAGTACATTAATGGAAATAACAATAAGAAATGGTGAGTATACAAATTTACTGTGATTAGTAGCATGAATTTTTGGTTGCTTTCTACATGATCTCTTTCATATTACTGAACGTTAGGATATTTGGAAATATAGAATAAAAAAATTATTTTTAATATAAAGTCTTTAATAATAAAATGAAACTAATAAAGAGAGTGCATTCTAGTTGCATTGAGAAAAGAGGTATAAGATCTTACAAGTGGCAGCCCTTACCTAATTTTTACCAAGTCATGGCCTACTGTAAAGAGAAATAGTTTATTATTTAATTAACCAATTAACTTTGATGGCTTTTTGGTGAGCAACAGTATTGTACTGATTATGCCTGAGAACATTGAAAGTATCCACTGTAAGAGTATGACAGTTGCATTCTCACCTTTGGGATCCCTTATAATGAAACAGGCATTATGATTTACCTGTAAGACTTGCAACTGCATAGACCCTGTACATGATAAAATCTTTGTGTTAGCAGTATTTGGTTTCTTACTGTTGTTTTCCAGTCTTCTCAAAATGTTCCTCCTATGTTACACCTTTTTATCATCCATCACTCAACAGATTTTGTTCATAAATGTCATTTCCTTCATATTTATTTGAAAATCTATAATTCCTTAAAAAAATCTATAATTCCTATATGATTATTCTAAATAACTATATAGTTGACTTATTACCAGCTGCCATTTCTATGAAATCATGGTAATAATCCCTGTTTCACATGCAAACTATCATCTTAAAACTGAGGGTTTGTGAATGCAGGATTTGGGATAAAATATTTTCTTCTGTTAACTAGATACCTTCAGTGATTCACCAATTTGGCCCTGGATTCCATCATTGTCTGATATAGCTGCTGTGTTTTTCAATATGGGAATTGATTTTAGATCTTTATTTCCTCTGGAGAATCTTCAGCCAGACTTTAATGAAGACAATCTAGTGTAAGTGTTCTTTTCGCTATTAACTCCAAAAATTATCTTTTAAACGATTTATATAACAGCAGTTAATATTCATTTGATAAATTCAGTATTCTTGATTTTTTAAAAATCTCTCAAAGTTGAAATGGATCTTGAATGAGAGACATTCTTAACATCTAAATCTAAATGCCATCATCATATTTAACAGGGAAAAAATGGAAACATTTTTAAATTAAAACAAAATTTTTTTTTAATGAGACTGTGCATGGTTATTTATGACTATTTGGAGGTTACTGGCCAAAACAGTTAGGCCATGAGCAGCTACTGCTGCTCAGTCACCTCCGTTGCTTCAGGCTTGGTCACTTCTGGCTTAGCCCCATCCCCACCCCAGCCACCCTCCTGTGGGCCAGCCTGAAGGCACGCCCTCTGCTGCAGAACAGGGCTGCCTACAGAGAGAAGCTCTTCACGTGGTTCCATCTACCTGATCATTTTCGTATCTGAACTCATCAAGTAAAATACATGGAGAGGCCCAGGACTTTGGAGAGGCTGAAGGGAAGATATGGTGGGAGCTGAAGGAACTGCAGGCCTAGCTGCTTGCCCACACCAGCAAGGCTCTTCTGTGTAGTGGAGTCCATGATCTATAAGAAGAAAAGGAACTTTCTCCATCAGCTCCCCTTGGAAAAATTCTGAACTACCGAATCTTCATATAAATGCTTTCTCTATTCTCTGTGGAAAAAATTGTTTAATTCAGGGGGAGAACAAGATGGCAGAGGAGTAGGTGGACATGGAGTACATCTCTCTCCACAGACACGTTCAGACACAGAAGTACATGCCAAACACCAAGAGCGGACAGGAGTACCTGACCAGCAGAAAAGAATATACAGGGCCCCACCCAAAACTTGAGATCAAGCCCTGAGGCTTTGGAGTGGGAGCACTGACTCCAAGACCCTAGACTACCAGAGAACTAACCCTAGGAGGTATTAAATAGTGAGAATTCACACAAAGGAAACCATTGGAATACAAGACCTGGCATCACCCTACCACCAGTGTGCAGGATACCTCATCTAAACAACAAACAAAACAAATATACAAACCCAGTCATCAGCAGACAGGATTACCACCTCCCTCATCAGAGGAGAAACAAACAAACCAAAACTCAGCACAGATCTAACCCTATAAGAAGCTTACACAAACCTCTGGACCAACCTTAGAGGGCAGAAACCAAAAGGAAGAAAGAATTCAGCCTTGAAGCCTGGGGAGAGGAAAACTCAAACACAATACGTCAAAATAATTAAATAAGAAAAAAAAAGATACAAAGATTGAAAATGGTGAAAGATTCACTGTTTGCAGAAAAGGTGATTTAAATGTATATACATAGAAGCCTAAGAGTCAACTGAAAAGCAATGACAAACTAGTAAGAAAATCTGGTATGGATGCCAGGGTACAATGTTAAAAGAGACATTACTGACCTTTGGATATATGAGCTAATTAAAAGATATACTTAATTTACAATAATAAGAAAGAAAAATATGTTAAATACCTAGGAATACGCTTAAATAGAAGTAGTGTACATGTGTGTAAAATTACTAAAGAACAAAAAAGAACAGTAGGAAAATTCATCATAAATACATTAGAGCTCCCCCTAAGGTAAACTGTGAACTTGGTGAGATCTTAATTAAAAATTAAAACTAACACAACAGTGTAAATCAACTATACTTCAGCAAAATTAAAGAAATGCCAGTCAGGTTTTTGTTGAGACAAGGGGAATTGGGACTCTACAAGTGATTCTAAAGTCATACAGAAAAAATAATACCCAGGAAAGTTTTGGGAAAGAAGTTATGAGGCAGGACTGACCTTAGCAGGTAAAAACATGGGACAGGTATAGAGATTCAAAGCTCTATCAGTGGAAGAAAATAAACCCGGAAAAGAAGCAAATACTTGGTAAATGCTAAAGATAGTGTTTCAAAAATTAAGGAAAGGGTGAGCTATTCAGTATCTGATACTCCCCATTATTTGGGAAATGAGGTGGCTTTCTGGGAAAAAAAAAATGTTTCCGTACTTCAAACTGATACAGTAAAGATTTAAATGTATATAATGAAATCACAAAGTAATAGAAGAACTTTTAAATAATCCTAGAGGAAGGGAAGATGATTTTGTTTGAATGTGCAAAATCCATAAAAGGAGAAACATATTTGACTGTTTCCACTGTTCCAGTCAAATATGTTAAATACAGTGGAACTGTAGTGAGTCCCTTGAACTGCAAGGTAATCAAACCAGTCAATCCTAAAGGAAATCAGTCCTGACTATTCATTGGAAGGACTGAGGCTGAAACTCCAACACTTTGGCCACCTCATGTGAAGAGTTGACTCATTGGAAAAGACCCTGATGCTGGGAGGAATTAGGGGCAGGAGGAGAAGAGGACGATAGAGGATGTGATGGCTGGATGGCATCACCAATTTGATGGACATGAGTTTGAGTAATCTTCGGGAGTTGGTGATGGACAGGGAGGCCTGGCGTGCTGTGATTCATGGGGTCGCCAAGAGTCAGACACGGCTGAGTGAACATAATTGACCACTTTTTTAAAGAAAAATTTCTATGACAGTAATCACCATAAACAAAAGTCAAAAGAAAATTGAGGGGTGGAAGGGAGAATATGTATATCATAATAGTACTGTATTATTTACTAGTTTTAAAAACCCACTTTTAAGTAGACCTGTGCTCTTCAAACCAGGTTGTTGAAGAGTCTGCAGTACTATACGATCATCAGTTGATTAAATCTGCAGATGTATACAGGGCCAATTATACCTAATACAAGGATTTTAGACTTTGTGGTGGGTGGGTGCTCCAACCCCTGTATTGTGTAATCATCAGCTGTGAATGGAACTCTGGTCACGGATAAAGGCTTAATTTCAAATTAATAAGAAAAAGTTCAATAACTATTAGAAAAATGGGCAAAGGAAGTAAATAGAAAAGGAAAAACAGTTCTTAAACTTTATGAAAATATACTCATCTTTATTTTTTTTTAATGCAAATTTTTGTTATTTGGTATATCCAGAACCAAAATCTTCATCTCTCCATCTCTTTCCACCGCATACAAGATTCCTCTTTGTTGCTTAGATGTAACCTGTATCTGAAAGTACGTTAGATAGCAAATTTTCTTTTTTTTTTCCTTTTTTTACTTTTTTTTTTTTTCATTTATTTTTATTAGTTGGAGGCTAATTACTTTACATCATTGCAGTGGTTTTTGTCATACACTGAAATGAATTAGCCATGGATTTACATGTATTCCCCATCCCGATCCCCCCTCCCACCTCCCTCTCCACCCGATCCCTCTGGGTCTTCCCAGTGCACCAGGCCCGAGCACTTGTCTCATGCATCCAACCTGGGCTGGTGATCTGTTTCACCCTAGATAATTTACATATTTCGATGCTGTTCTCTTGAAACATCCCACCCTCTCCTTCTCCCAGAGTCCACAAGTCTGTTCTATACATCTGAGTCTCTTTTTCTGTTTTGCATATAGGGTTATTGTTAACCATCTTTCTAAATTCCATATATATGTGTTAGTATACTGTAATGGTCTTTATCTTTCTGGCTTACTTCGCTCTGTATAATGGGCTCCAGTTTCATCCATCTCATTAGCAGTGATTCAAATGAATTCTTTTTAATGGCTGAGTAATATTCCATGGTGTATATGTACCACAGCTTCCTCATCCATTCGTCTGCTGATGGGCATCTAGGTTGCTTCCATGTCCTGGCTATTATAAACAGTGCTGCGATGAACACTGGGGTGCACGTGTCTCTTTCAGATCTGGTTTCCTCGGTGTGTATGCCCAGAAGTGGGATTGCTGGGTCATATGGCAGTTCTATTTCCAGCTTTTTAAGAAATCTCCACACTGTTTTCCATAGTGGCTGTACTAATTTGCATTCCCACCAACAGTGTAAGAGGGTTCCCTTTTCTCCACACCCTCTCCAGCATTTATTGCTTGTAGACTTTTGGATAGCAGCCATCCTGACTGGCGTATAATGGTACCTCATTGTGGTTTTGATTTGCATTTCTCTGATAATGAGTGATGTTGAGCATCTTTTCATGTGTGTGTTAGCCATCTGTATGTCTTCCTTGGAGAAATGTCTGTTTAGTTCTTTGGCCCATTTTTTGATTGGGTCATTTATTTTTCTGGAGTTGAGCTGGAGGAGTTGCTTGTATATTTTTGAGATTAATCCTTTGTCTGTTGCTTCATTTGCTATTATTTTCTCCCAATCTGAGGGCTGTCTTTTCACCTTGCTTATAGTTTCCTTTGTTGTGCAAAAGCTTTTAAGTTTCATTAGGTCCCATTTGTTTATTTTTGCTTTTATTTCTAAAATTCTGGGATGTGGGTCATAGAGGATCCTGCTGTGATTTATGTCGGAGAGTGTTTTGCCTATGTTCTCCTCTAGGAGTTTTATAAAAAATATGGAACGCTTCACGAATTTGCGTGTCATCCTTGCGCAGGGGCCATGCTAATCTTCTCTGTATCGTTCCAACTTTAGTATATGTGCTGCCGAAGTGAGCACTAGATAGCAAATTTTCATATGAAGACTGTATTCTATCACTTTAAATAGAAAACATAATGCTTTATCAGACCATTTAAAGACCCCAATATTTCCCCCCCCAAAAAATGACCAAAATATTCAAATACCTATATTTAGAAAGTTAATACTATTTTATTATTTAACATTTAATGAACTGAGTAGTATGTGGTGGTTTTGTATGTATGTAACAGATTTTAATTTTTTCTCTTCACTATAGTGAACAGGTACTATAGTGGGTATAGTGAAGTAAAGATAAAATGATTTCATTAAGATATAATAAATGCCAATAATAATTTTTCTGATTATTTACCAACTGAGTTGCCTCAGTCAGGTTTGGTGACTGCAGTCAGGAGGTGGTGGCTATAAGTTACTGTTGCTGTATAGTGGTAGGCAAAGATGAACACAGATGAGCAAGAGTGAGCTGGTGAAGGAATGAGTGAAGCATAATGAAATATCTGTTTAAGCAGCATGGAGCACGAGACTAAATCCTGTTGAGATATGATCACAACTCACTCTTCTCTTACCGGGACTCATGTGCAACCTATCTATTTTTGCTGTTATGTGTATGCATATTCACAAATATGCATCCAAATAGTAGATTTGAAAGTTGTTAGAGTATATATTCAGATAGGGAGAGTAAGACATTAAAGGATCCAAGTAACAGTTCGTTAGCATTAGTCTCCAGGATATACAGACTTAGTTCTAACCCCTTTCTATTCTACATTCCATTAATTGCCTCACATCCCTGTGTTCTCTTCCTGTACCTATCTCACAGCTATTCTTTCCTTTTCATTCCTAGCATCAGCCTTATTTAGATCCTCCTCTCATGTCTAGAATGGCAAAAATCTTCCTCCTGGGAGCGTCCCACCTCTAATATACTTAATCTTTTCACTGTTACAGTCTTCCTTTTATGAAAATTTTCTTCTCCACTTCTAACCAAATTGACTCTCTTGCTCTTCCTTCACATTAGCCATTGTTGCATTGGATCTTCCTCCTGCAAGTCCCTAACCTCCATCCTCAGTGTCTGCTTATCAAAATCTTATCTGTCTCACTTCTTGAAGCACTGTGAACATTTGAGTGGAGCTGCCTATACTTACATATTTTTACTGTGTGCCAGACATGGTTCTGGGGGCTTAATACATAGTACTTCATCTGATAGTCACTACAACTACTCAGATATTTCAAAAAATAAGAAGGTTTTGCACATTGTAGTTATAGGGGTATCTCCAAGATACAAGTATTAAAGCAATGGAGAGAGGTATATTCATATTTATGTATATATATAAAATACCTATGGGAGGAAGGACTGAAGCTAGTAGTGATTGTCCATGGGAAGGGGAAATGAGCAGCTGAGGGCCTAGACTGCAAGGACCATTCTCTTCAGCACACTGTGCCTTAATATCTCTTAACCTTTTTTTAATCCATATGAAAGGGTTATTTATTTTAAAAAAAATTAAACAAGAAAATATTACCTATATTTGAGGGTTAGGTTCATTTGTCTCTCTGCCTTGAACCTTCACTGATTTCCTCAACCAAAATTGAAATGCTTAGAATTATTTATATTGCTGTGGCAGTTTTATTGGGCCACTCATGAGTCTTCTAAGTATTTTGAATTCTTTGTAGTCAGAGCCACCTTCTACATAGCTCTCAGACACCAAGAGCAACAGGGAGGTTGCCTTATAAAAAGCAGCTGTTTGAGGGAAAACTAATGTATAGATGGAAATCAAATTTACCTGGAGTGGGAAATAGCTTATTAACTCAGACCTGACAAAGACTCTGGGAAGTAATAGAATTGTTCTATTTCTTGGTTGGGATGGTGGTTACACTAGTATATACATATTCATCGAAATTTTAAATGTGTATATTTCTTTTATCGTATGTAATTATACCTCAATAAAATTTTTGCTGTTCAGTGCTTCTCAGAATTTTATTCCTAATTTCTCACTGCTTTATTCACTTTTCTATAGTTCTGAAACACAGGTGACATTGGGAGTGAAAGAAAATGAAGATTCATCTTATAAGCCAATTTTTTCATCTCTCCCTGAAACCAACATTTTAAATGTGGTTAAGGTAGGAAAAAAACTGTTTTGTATGTCTTTAGCACAGGACTGGAACCATTTAGTTTTTTGCTTAGCAATTTTCAAACAAAATCACTAGTGTTTTACCATGGCATTTCTAGTGTCTGACATTCCTTAGCAATATTCTTTGTATTAAAACTTGATTTTACTGTTTTTATTTTTGTTTTAATATTATGAGCAAAAGGGAACTTTAAATCAGCATTATGTGTTTAAAATAGTTCTAGGAATACCTTTACCAAGAAGCTTTTTGAAACTAGTATTTTTGAAACCAATAGTTTCTAGAATTAGAATATACAAAGAAAAATTGTTTACAGTATACCTTAGTGACCAAGAATTAATAAGTGTTAAAACATCTTTAGTGACTAAATCGAATCAATAGTGATATTGAACTGTTAAAAGTCTTGAAAATTAAAAATGGAGAAGAAAATATTTAGTAATTCAACTATTAACATGAATGTTTTTTGCCTTTTCCTAGACAGCTGATGTTTTGGTTTCTGTATAGTTCCTGTTTGCATTTTTTATCAAAAAGTTTTTATACTGTAAACTCTTCAAGCAGAATATATTTCCTAAAGTTGTTTTGTCTCTGATGTATGTCAGTTTCTAGGCTTGTGTACATCTATACATCCAGAAGGTTACCAGGATCGTGAAATAATGTTACTGATCTTAATGTTGTTTAAAATGAGTTTGGAAAAAGAACTGAAACAGATTCCTCTAGTAGACTTTCAGAGCCTCTTAATAAACCTGATGAAAAACATCAGAGATTGGAACACAAAGGTAACATTACTTAAGTGCATGCAGAATTGACAGTTTCTAACCTAAGTTGAGATCTTCCGCAGATGAAAACTTAACTGAGGAAAGGACTGTCTTTGCTGGAACTGTATTTAATTCATGAAACTGAATCTTTTCTAAAACTGAAGCTGTTCATTCAAAAAATGTGTTATGTTTATTGGGGATTAAGTGTGAGCCAAGTGTTATTAATACAGGTGCTAGAAATAAAGCTGTGTGAAGACAAAACCCTTGCTCTCCCTGCACTTTTTAGTCAAAGGGTTAGGTTATAAGCAGTGTAAATGTAGATTATAATATCATTAAGTTATAGTAAATGCTACAAATTACAGTAAAGCTGGACAAGGCAGGGATCCTCTGCTATTTGATGTGTTAGGTTTTTTAAAATTACGCTTTTCGACCTTTTTTTGGTAGAAAGTGTCAAACGTGCTAAAGTAGGGGAAACAGTTTAATGAACCCCTAAGTACTTATCACCCAACTTCAGCAATTATCAAAATGTAATCAATCTTCGGCTTCCCAGGTGATGCTAGTGGTAAAGAACCTGCCTGCCAATGCAGGAGACATAAGAGATGTAGGTTCGATCCCTGGGTTGGGAAGATGCCCTGGAGGAGGCCATGGCAACCCACTCCACTATCTTGCCTGGAGAAGCCCATGAACACAGGAACCTGGCGGGCTACAATCCATTGGGTCGCACAGAGTTGGACATGACTGCAGCAACTTAGCACAGTACACAATCTTATCTCTTACCCTTATCCTATACATCCTTTCCTTTTTTTTTTTTTAAATTCAGCTGGCCAGTCGTGTCTGGCTCTTTGGGACCCCATTCACTGTAGCCCACCAGGCTCCTCTGTCCATGGAATTTCCCAGGCAAAAATACTGGAGTGGGTTGCCATTTCCTTCTCCAGGGGATCTTCCCGACTCTTACTAAGGGATTATTTTGAATACTGAAATAATATTTAAACTTGGGGATTCCTAAATTCAAAAAATTCCTCGTCAGGAACATGTATTGTGCAACTCTTATTATATACCTTTGGAAACTGGTATTTGTATTTAGATTATTCTTTGAAGGACTGTTAAAATCAATGTAGATATGATGTAGCACAAAAGTTAAATAAAATTCTGATAAATGTATTTATTCAGTTTACTCTAGAGTTTAAGATAAAAGTCTGTGTGCTCTTTTTGTAATCTCAAGTCAAGAAGGGACATGGATGATCTGTTAGATACTTGATTCCACTAACTTATGTGAAGAGTTTTGCTCATGGTTTGTTTTCAGGTGCCTGAACTCTGTCTGGCCATAAATGAACTCTCCACTCATCCCCACAACCTTCTCTGGTTGGTACAGCTGGTCCCTAACTGGACATCACGTGGAAGGTATTGAAAAGTGAGAATGAAATATTAGAAAAATACATGTTTACATTAATGAAATGCTTTTAGGTCCTTTATTTCCTTTCATCATTTCTTGAATGTTAAATCAGAGTCTTTTATTTGATATTAAATTTTAAGAAAAGCCATTGACAGCCTGATTCTGATTCTCAATTCAGATCACTTTGTAATAGTCTTGATTGTTAAATTTAGCTTTAGCTTTAGCTTATCTGATAACTTAATATAGATGGCATATACCACAAAAATGAATCAAGTTGCTTTTTTATTTTGCTTTAATAAAAAGAAATTCCAGCAGTAAAATAGATTTTCTAACAGTAAATCATCAGGGTCAAAGATAAAGGCGCTCAATGGTTTTCCTGCACTTCAGACAACTTTAGCTTTGTGTACAAATATTTTACATGAAAATGTTACTGTTCTAATAAAGTTTATATATTCTTATATAGCCTTCTCTTGAAACATTAGCAGTGGTGCAAATTAGAAGAACTTCTTTTGGCTCATTCATTTGCTTCTTAAACAGTATTGATTAAATGCATCCTAAATACTTTAAAATTGTAATTTCAGGCAACTGAGACAGTGCCTCAGCCTAGTGATTATTTCAAAGCTTTTGGATGAAAAACGTGAAGATATCCCTAATGTGAATAATCTGCAGGTATAAATAGCACTTTTTTTTTTTTTTAGTAAGTGGGAGAGATGTACAGAAAAAAATGATGGGGGAAAAAAAAATGATGGGTCCTGTGTCAAAAGTCCTGCAGTTAGAGCTTAGCTCTTTGGCCAAATACTGTTCATGTAATTTTTTGCATGGTATTTAACCAGTGAGACCCAGTTTCTTTATCTGTGAAATGGAGATGGTATGATACCATCTACCACATAGGATGGTTATGGACAATTAGATGCATTAATTTATAAGAAGTGCTGGGAAAATCATAATATGCTATATAAATGTGACATTTATTATTTCACCTTGTCAACGTTAGCAATTTTATCATGAGATTAGAAATTGCAAAACTATTAAATGTTAATTACATCCTGTACCTATTTTTATATTAGTCTTTAAATTATGGAGCTTAAATGTGGTTGCCCTTTAATTACTTGTTCAGTAGTGAATATATCATGTATATATGAGTGTATATAAACATGTCATATAGAAAACCCATTCTGAGAAGTCCTGAAGGCAAAGTGGAGATAGAGATTCTGGCCTTGAAAACAAACTGTAGTGGTTGAAACAATTAACCAATCATTGTGGTACAGTGTAGCAAGAACAGTGACAGAAGTATGCTCAGGGTGCTTGTGGGACAGAGAGATTGAAAAGGACAGCTGTTCCTATATTAGTAGAGTTGAAGTAGATTTGATTCTATATTTATGGGGGGACCACACTTGAGCTACCAGGGTAATTAGAAAAAGCTCTCGGTCCTTTCAGTGATATTACTGCCATCAAAAGAGAATTCTTTCCAGAATTCAGTGACTTCTGTTCACAAGGATGAAGATTCAACTTTGCTGACGTTCAAATAATTTTTCATAAAAAGTATTCACTTTGACCTCTGTTTGGTAATGCAGTTTGGTCTCATCCTCAAGTTTTCATCCTCAATTAAAAGTACTAAATCTTAAATTTAATATCCCTTTTAGGGAATTTCCTGGTGGTTCAGGGGTTAGCACTTGGCACTTTCACTGACAGGGCCTAGGTTCAATCCCTGGTTAAGGAACTAAAATCCTACAAGCCTCAAAGTGCAACCAAAAAAATTAAAATTAAGATCCCATTTAAGCAGTTGACTTTTTTTTCGCCTCTCTCATTTTATTACAGTGAGGTTTAACAGTACATAAAGGACACATGAACCTTGGTGGGTCAGTTGGAGACTGTTTTTTTGGTTGCACCATGTGGCATGCAGAATCTTCCCTGACTAGGGATCAAACCTGCGCCCCCTACATTGGGAGTGTGCAGTTTTTAACCACTGACTGCCAGGGAAGTCCCTCGGTTGGGGACTTTTAAGTAAAGAATAAATGGATATCACTGAACTTGAAGAAGCTAAATTAAGAGACGGCAAAATGAACAGAGGACACTGAAAAAAAATGCCTAAGAAAGAGCAAGTGTATTGCCTAATATGTTTCATTGTCTCCTCTTTCCTTTGATAGATATCAGTCTTACATCGCTATCTTGTGCAAATGAAGCCTTCAGATTTGTTGAAGAAAATGGTCTTGAAGAAAAGAGCTGAACAACCAAATAGCACTATTGATGATAGTCTTCATTTGGAACTTGAAAAGCAGGTATCCAGGGCTAGATCATCTCAAAAGAGTACATTTGAGCACAACTTGTGATAGCTTCCTAACCATAGACATTTCTGAATTTAGACACTGGATACATTGTAGCATAGTTATATGGTGAATGATATTTTTGTTTATTGCTGTCATAAAATCCTTCAGTTAACTTGAAGATTGAAATAAAAGGATTGTTGGTAATTTAATACTGAGTATTTTTCGTAGCCCTTTACTAGGGCAGTCATGAGGTGGTAAAAGGAATGAACTTGAAGTAGAAACCTTAGATAAATATTTGACTTTTGCTTGCTTACCAGTCTAGTTAACTTCAGCAAATCCAGTCCTTCCTGGGCAACTTCCCTAATGTTTAAACTGGGATGACATGTATTCTAGCTAATTTCATCCATGGGTGTTGACTTTATTCATTTCTTTACCAGGCATATTACCTGACCTACATTCTTCTTCATTTAATCGGTGAGGTTAGTTGTTCTCACTCCTTTTCTTCTGGACAACGGGTAGGTATTTTTTCATCCTTTTTGTTTTTAATAAATGTCACTATTGATGGAATAATGATCATTTTTTGTATATGAGAAAATATAATAACTTTTATCAAATTCACTTTGGATTCACTGTCGAAATAACAGTGTACATTGGAAAGGGAGAAGTGATAGTAACCTTGCAGCCTTTTTTTTTTTTTTTGTCTGTACTGAGTCTTCATTGCTGTGCAGGCTTTCTCTAGTTGCAGCAAGCAGGAGCTACTCTCTTATTGCAGTGTGTGGCCTTCTCATTGCGGTGACTTCTCTTGTTTTGGGCCACAGGGCCTAGGATATGTGGGCTTCGTAGTTGCAACTGGCAGGCTCCATAGTTAGGGCACACAGTCTCTAGAGTGTGTGGGCTTCAGTAGTTGTGGCTCACAGGCTGAGTTGCCCCATGGCATGTGGAATGTTCCTGGACCAACCTGTGTCCCCTGTATTGGCAGGTGGATTCCTAACTGCTGCACCACCAGGGAAGTCCAAACTTAACATTTTTTTTTCTTGCCTTGCTATAAGACTTACAAAATCTTAGTTCCTCAACCAGGGATTGCAGCCAACAAACGTTTGTTCTGTTTATTGGAGTGGAACTTAACTGTGATAACTTGGCAGAAGTGTAATATATTAATATCAAAATCACCAAATACTAAATGAGCTAGCTCTTAGCTCCATTCTTCCCATGTCTGCTCCCACTCCATTTCCTTTTTTCTTTAGAAATAATGTTTGCCTTCAAAATTAAACTGATGGTAAATCAGCCTACTCTATATATACATTCCTAAATTATCTCCCTATGTTAAGATTTTCATTTTGAATTATTTATTCTTCCTGTACTATCATGTTCCTCATTTGTGGGGAAAATTCTTGTTTAATTCTCCATGTTTCACACTTGAGGTAATCCAACCCCTGTTTAAAACTTTGTATCTCCTTAGACATGATTTAAAAGGACCCAAGACTGCTTCCTGTGTTTTTATAAACACTATTGTACATAGAACTATCTTTGCTCTCCTGATTGGAACCTAATATAATCATCTGTGGGGCTTCCCTAGTGGCCCTAGTGGTAAAGAACCTGCCTGCCAATGCAGGAGACAGAAGAGACGTGGGTTCCATCCCAGGATCAGGAAGATCCCCTGGAGAAGAGCAAAGCAACCCACTCCAGTATCTTGCCTGGAGAATCCCATGAACAGACGAGCCTAGCAGGCTACAGTCCATAGAATCACAAAGAGTCGGACACAACTGAAGCAACTTAGCATGCATGCAGTCATCTCTCTGTTCTTATATATGGTCTTTAAATTTTTTAATTATTCTGATTAGAAAACAATAATCATTGTGTTAAAACTCAATTACTATAAAACCATGTAAGGTAGAAAGTGAAAGACTTTATAATCTAGTGCCCTCCTGTAAATGCTCCATAATTTATGGATATCCTAACATAATTACATTTTTAAAAATTATGTCATGCTATTCACATTATTTGTAACTTCTTTTTCTCCACTGTAATTTACTTAGCACTTCTGTCTAATTAAACTGTAGTATTCCAGAATCTTTACTGATGAACATTCCTTTTTCGGTGATTACACACAGTACTAACATGAACCTTTGGAAGCATTTCTGTTGGGTAAATTCCTAGAAGTAGAAATGCTAAATCAAAATTTGTAAAGTTTTCAAATTTTAATTATTGTAAAATGATTGTTATCACATTTACCTCCTCAAAAGTGTCCATTTACATTCTCACCTTAGTATATATATAAGTGTGACTCTTTTAAACTGTACACTTCTAAAACTTAGGACACTTAATTTTTCAGAGAACTGTTAGTAAACCTTGTTTTGTAAAAATCTTTATTTTTGTGTATGTTTTATGCATTAACTAGCAATAAGCTATAAATGTCTGATTGTTATGGCAGTCACTACATTTTACTCATATGACTGCTACTGTGTTGGACAGTTAATATCAGAAATTGCTAAGGTAGATTTTTTTAAATGATTGTCAGTTCTAGCTACATAATCTCTTCGTTGTTCATTTGTAATGCCTTAAAGTTGTTTTCATCCTTTGTATTTGTTTTACACAGAAACACTTTGTGCACCTCTGTGGAGCTTTGGAAAAGCACATTAAGTGTGATATTAGGGAAGATGCAAGACTGTTTTATAGAACTAAAGTAAGTATGCCTTTTTCTTAATAGTTTTGTTGTTTATTTATCATTGGCTTTATTAATATTTGAGTAAGAGAAGCCTATAAGCCTCTTTTTTAAGAACATATAACATTAGAAATAAGACTTTCTCCTTTAATAACAAATTAGGTTCGTCTGAGTACTTCTAGATAGATTGAAAGTGAAGGGGAAAATCTCAAAGCAAAAACATTTAAGACAAGAAGCTGAACAGAAAAGCTGAAAATAAGAATATGGAGTTAGGAAAGCAACTTTAGTATTAATAAAACAATTTGACAACTTTTCCTGAAACATAAACACCACTATTTTTAAAACATTTTCTTCCAAGAATTGTTTTTTTTATTTTATTCTTAATCATCCTTTAGCTTTTGCAGTGTAGGGGTGATTCTTTCTTGCCATTTGTGTTTCAGTCAGTTCAGTTCAGTCGCTCAGTCATGTCCGACTCTTTGCGACCCCATGAATCGCAGCACACCAGGCTTCCCTGTCCATCACCAATTCCCGGAGTTTACTCAGACTCATGTCCATCGAGTCGGTGATGCCATCCAGCCATCTCATCCTGTCGTCCCCTTGTCCTCCTGCCCCCCATCCCTCCCAGCATCAGGGTCTTTTCCAGTGAGTCAACTCTTCACATTTGTGTTTAGATAGTCATTAAAAGTGAGGTTTCGGCTTTGTAATTAGCTGTAAAGTCATTTCAACAATGCCCGTTTAGATTTAGTATCTGTATTTGTTTTAATAGATCTAAGTTAAATACCAAAAGGAGTAACTAACAAAATTATACTAGATTGCAGATTTTCAAATGCAGGTAGGAGATAGCTCTTTGGCTTAGAGTGAAAACCAGTTTCAGAAACACATTCTTTTGAACACCGACTAGTTACTGGCCTGTAGAACTTGGTGGTGGTGGCTGCTGCTGACAGACATGCTACAGGGGACCACCCCCAAGTTTTTTGCTACTTAAAGCCAAGAGGCTGGGCATAGACTGGTGCCAGGGCTCCTCTTACTTAGAGTGGAGAGTGACACAGAGATCTATGGAAATTGCTTCAGGGGGCCTTCCTGCTGAAATGAATGAGGCATGCCTCTCCACAAGCCTCTAGTAGAAAAGGTGCTGATTGTTTTGGAGAAACTGAATCTGCCAAACGGTAAATGGAGAAAAAAGCAGACCTTACAATTTACTTTATAAACTTAAAGCAACTGTAAAATTCCTGACCCTTTTAAGATATTTTGTTGGGACTTCCCTGGCAGTCTACTGATTAAGATTCCACATTTGCACTTCAGGGGGCACGAGGTCAATCCCTTGTCAGAAAACTGAGGTCCCACATGCTGCACAGCACAGCCCAAAATAGACATACGTAAATACGTACAAACATTTTGTCAGGCAATTATGTCCAAGAACTAATTGAGAATCCTCTAGTGTGGTAGGAAAGTTTGAGTTTCATACAAAGACTTAACTAAAGCTCCAAATGTAGGAATGCGTCAGGTATTTATATATAAAGAGGATTCATTGTGCAGTCTACCTTTCAGCAACACAGATTCTATCCAAACTATCTCAGCTTCCTGCTCTTGAGTGAGTCATTTATCACTTTCTTTGTTTTTGAGGCAGAGATAGCAGCAGGGTTTTCTATGGTGCAGGGGCTTGGCACCACTAACCCCCACATTGTTCACGAGTCATCTATACTTTGCAGAATCCTAGAGGGACTTAACACGCAGTTTTGGATCTCCTGATAGTGTGAAAAGGAGCAAATAACAACCCTCTTTTGTGACCTTGAGTCAAATAGAACTTGAAAGGCAAGGAACAGCCAAAGCCTTGGGTCCTGTAAGAGTGGGAAGCCCACTCTTCAGCTTTCCTGTTGGGTGTTCAGAAGCCAGCGAGTTGAAAATTGGTGTCTTGAAGGCAGAAAACATGGTTTTTGGATGATCTTTAGTTAACTAATGGGAAAATGGAGTCCTAAGCATTCAATATCTTAGACATGATGATGAAGAAAGGTCTTAGTTAATCACTGTGACTTGAAAACCCCTCTAGAAGTTGAGGAGTTTATTCTTTCTTGACAGAAACTACATTGAGTTGTTGGGGGTGGGTCTGTCACAATTATCAGGTCTTTTGTGTCAAGTCTTAAATTGTTTTGATCTGATCTCTTTTCCCCTTCTTTGTATTTTTAAGGTAAAAGACTTGGTTGCCAGGATACATGGAAAATGGCAGGAAATAATCCAGAACTGTCGGCCTACTCAGGTGTCATTTTATTAGACAGTTTTTATTTGTTCTCAATTTGTTGTTGTTCAGTCACTCAGTCGTGTCTGACTCTTTGCAACCCCATGGACTGCGGCACGCCAGGGTTCCCTGTCCATCACCATCTCCCAGAGTTTGCTCAAACTTATCCATTTAGTCGGTGATGCCATACAACCATCTCATCCTCTGTTGTCCTCTTCTCCTCCTGCCTTCAGTCTTTCCCAGCATCTGGTTCTTTGCCAGTGAGTTGGCTCTTTACATCAGGTGGCCAGAGTATTGGAGCTTCGGCTTCAGCATCAGTCCTTCCAAAGAATATTCAGAGTTGATTTCCTTTAGGATTGACTGGTTTGATAATATTATTTCTTCATACTGTTCTAAAAAAGCATGACAAAGTACTTCTAGATATCTTATGATAAACTGAAAATTCCAATATAGTCCTTTATATATGTTTTTAAAATTTTTGTTCTTACATTCATTAATTTATTTTCAAAGGTGGTTGATCCTATTTTAAAATGTTACATTGCATCCAATGGGGCTTATTTCATGTGGAGTATTCCTTAATATCTTTATTGAGATAAAATTCACATGTCATACATTTCACCCAATTAAAGTGTACGGTATTTTTTAGTATATGCATAGTTGTTCAATCGTCACCACAGTTTAACTTTAGAACATTTCTGTCACTCCAAAAAGTGACACTCATACCCATTAGCAGTCAGTCCTCATTCCCCAAGCACCTGCACTCCCATCCCCACTCCCCACAAGCCCTAGGCTACCACTAATCCACTTTCTGTCTAAATATATTTGCCTATTGTTTATATCTCATAGAAATGGAATCATATATGATGTAGTCTTTTATGACTGGCTTCTTTTACATAACGTAATGTTAATACATGTTTGGCATGTTGTATGTCCTTTATATTGCCAAATAATACTCCACTATATGCATATATCATATTTTATAATCTACTTATTAGTAGATTTATATAACTACTTTTATATATCTGCTTATTACGAATTGTTTCCACTTCCTGGCTGTTGTGAATAATGCTTCCATGAACATTTGTGTATTAGGTAAAGTGGTTGCACTGTTTTACATTCCCACCAGAATGTATGAGGTTTCCAGTTTTTCCACATTCTTGCCAACATTTGTTGTTATCTGTTTTTCAAATATAGATGTAGGGAGTTGGATGAGGAATGTCATTGTGATTGTAATTTGCATTTCCCCAATAACTAATGATGTTATGAGCACCTTTTTATACATTTTCTTTGAAGAAGTCTCTACTCAGATTCTTTGTCCATTTTTTAACTATGAGAATTCTCCATATGTTCTAAATACAAATTCCCCCATTAGGTACATAATTTGCCAATATTTCCTCCCATTTTCTGTGTTGTCTTTCATTGTTTTGATGATGTTATTCAAAGAACAGAAGTTTTTCATTATGATGAAGTCCAGTTTTTTCCCTCTTGTCACTTGGGGTTTTGGTATTATATCTAAGGAGACTTTCCATAAGAAAGGCATTATTTAAACACTTGCTATTGAGTTTACCATCCTGTTTATTTACAGACCAACTACAGTACTAAATGGGATTGTATGAAAGTAACAGGAACACAGAAGTCTTTGAGAAATATTATGTTAATGTTTTATTGTTCTTGTTTTAGTTACTAATCTCCATAGACTTCTTTTAGGCCAGCCTTTTTTGCTGATGTAGCTTTAAAATAGAAAAGAATTTAATACCAAAACTTTGTTAATCAGCTTAGCGATTTCATTAATCTTTTTAAATACATCCCTCCACCTGTGTGTGTTGCTGACGAAAACATCTTGTACTGATTTATACTTAAATTGTTAGACTATAAAATGTGAAACTTGAATCCGATTATGATAAATTATCAGAGAAATGTACTATGTCAACATTTTATTAATTTCATTATCAAAGCCCATTGTCTGCTGATTAGCAGTTTTATAAGGATTAATTTGTAATCTGATTTTCCTTTATCCTGTTTTTTTTCTTCCCTTCCCTTTTCTAGGGGCAACTTCATGACTTTTGGGTACCAGATTCTTAACAGGAGTTGCAGCAAAAAAAATTATGAACCAAGAGAAATTCAGTAAGAGCCTTTCCTAAAGGAATACTACAGAATCCAATGGAAATCTAAGAAAATGTGCAACAGATGTGCTACTTGAATATCTAGAATGAAGCTGGTAATGAAGAAATTGTCATTTCTGAAGCAGATATGAAATATAATCTGATTAATTAAAGCAACTGGCCTTTTAAAAGAGAATTCCTTTTAAGAGGGGAGAGGTAGAAGCAACTGACAGTTGCATATCTAACCTTCCCCTTTTTACTCTTGTTAAATTGTAAGCCTGTTATCTTTTTTGGGGGATTGTATTTGCAGCACTTGGATAATCACAGGAAGTATGTAAGAAAGGGCTTGGACTAACTTGAAAAGCTGGACCTGGAAACCACGATCAAGTTCCAGTTTGATTTAATTTTCTTTTTAGTTATTTTATGACTTAAAGGGAAATCTTAGAACTGAGTTTAGTAATTGAAAGGATAAATCTTTTCTATTACTCCTGTAAAACCACTGGGGTGTTTCAATCCATGCATTTTTCTTCACTATTCAAGATTATAAATCTGTCGGGTTTTTAAAATACATTTAAACAAACAGTTGAGAAATAGAAGTTTGGTACATTGTCAGATCCCCTTTAGGGGAAGAGTTTAAGCTATAAAATAGTGGCTTTGTTTTTATTCCAAAACATACATATGCTGTTTGTTTTGGATTTATTTTACATGCATTTATATATTTTTTAATACTGGTAAAAGCTTAGCATCTTGGCTAAATCTTAGAATTCTGGCCCTTCGTAGCCATATTACAGAAGTCTATTGTAAAAGCTAAAGGTATGAACAGGTTTCCAAAAACTTTACTTTCATGAGTATGTAACCTTAGCAGAGACCTGAATAACATTTATTCTTCGGTACACTACGCACGCGTGTGTATGTATGTATGTGTGTGCGTGTGTGTGCTTATATTTTAAATTTGTTGCACTTGAAAACCACAGCTGCTCTAAATTCTTAAACACTGGAAAGCCATCCTTTGGTTTCATTGGTGGAGGGTTAGGAGAAATGCACATGCTGGTCTTAGCCCAGGGCCCTTTGAAGCCTTCGGTAGTAATAGACTCTTACTAGCTAACTGAAGAATTCTTTTGTTGACTGAGTGTCCCTTTAGGAGGGTTGGTTTCTTGAAAGATGATGCCAGCTTTGTTTTTCTTTCTTTCAATATTGACTTGGATGACACTGCTCTCCTAAGCACTCTGCTGCCTCCAGTTGTGGGAAAAGGATGAAGGGAAAGGGATTTGGACTTGATGTTTATAGTTTGAGAGGGGAGAAAATAAATTTGGGAAAATAGCTTTCTACCTCTAATTGAGGCTTAGCAGTAAAAAGCATTTTATCTTAAATTTTCATTTAAAATAGTAACTTTTGAGCCCATGTCAAACATTGAGCAGTTAGAGATTTTATAGGGAAGACTTAAGTTAATCTAGTCCCTAAGAACCCTGACTGAATGAGGCTTCAAGAGTCAGACCAACAAAAGTTTTATTCTGTGTTGCGTTTACTGGTAAGAATATTATTATCTTGATACTACCTCTCAAGGGTATTGTTAGAAAATGCCACTTATGGTTAATGAGATAGATACAAAGAGTTATATTGACAGAAGCTTGAAACTCTGGCATCTATCTGCCCAACAGTGGGGGCTTTCACTCTCTGTAATTTAATATTTTGTAGATATACATTATTTGTGTGTAATTTTATAAGTGTTCATATTTTTCTCATTTTGCATTGTGTAAAGTGTACAATATCTCAAAGTATAAAATACTGCTTATATTGCTTGTAATTACAGTGTGTAAATATTTTCTAATTGTGTACATTGAAAGGGGGAACGAGTGGGTTATTCAGGTTTTTTTTTTAAGTGACCCTTTTGTATTGCAGTTTCAACAGATAACTGCTCATCAAATTTAAAACCACTTTGATAGATTTTATTTAGGAGTTCCAATAAGAAAAGTCTCTATTTTTAATTGTCTCTCTCCATTGGAAAAAAGTTCATCATCTGTCCCTTTAAAATAAATGACCAAACATCAATTTGAACCGTTACATATATGACTTGGTAGATATCCTTAGTCTCCAGGTCATATTCCAACAGTATTTTCACTGGGGGCTCAGAAGTTTCTGTGAGTCTCTTTAGCACAAGTAGCCCATGGTTTTTCTCCCAAATAAGTATTATCCTTCACCCTCTGAGTCCCCATGCTTTGTCTCCCTGCTGCTGCTGTTGCCCTGTGAATGGGATGGCAGCGGGGGGGAACATGTTCGTTGCACAGAGAATGTCAAGTCACTTTTTGGACTTGGCAAACAAAGCTTGCACTGAGTGGTGGTGTGTTTGGCAATATTACTGTGTCAAAAATCACCTTGTCTAATTTTCTGGATCTGTATGTCAAACTTATTGCCCTTATTGCAAGCTGAAAATTAAGGTACTTGCAAGTGTTTATGCTTTTGTGTGTAACTGTTTGCCTTATCTAAACTGCTTTTCTTGTTATCCTAAAGTATAATTCTGTTGGTTATATCATATTAAGTGAAGAGGCTTTCCATGCACAAAATGCATCTATGTAGCAGTAAAGTAACATTTGTACATTTTCTGTTTGTCTCCTGATGGCAGTGGTGCCTTTGTCACCTTTAAGTACAAGTAATAGTTTGCTTTTGACTTCACAAAAATCTCCCCGGACGCAGAAGAAAATGGCGTGTTGTCATCCAGGCTCAGTTGGAGTATTTGCATATTTATTTCTGTCAAAATAAGTATAGTTGGTGGGGATGGGCCAGTAATAATGTGTGGAGTCTTTAAACCAAGAGTAATTTTGAAATTTAAAAAATGAAAATTGAAGAGGTGACCCATTAGCGAGTGACTGAGTTGGAGAAGTAGAGGAGGACCGCTCTGGTTTGTCTCTTTAGGAGGCACTTTGGAGTACAGGTGGCTTGGGCATGTAGCGTGTGATCTGCGGTTATTTCTTACTCATTAACAGTGTTGGTGCACCTCATTTTCTGTGCATTTGTTTTCCCTGGGCAGTCCTGTGAGCCAGGTAATCCACCAGCTTTTAGGAAGTTTACAGGTAATTGCAGATTTCCTTTTTCTTCCTGTTTTTTTTAACAAATTTTATACTACGTCTTGTTTAAAGTCCTATGAATGTATGTGTCTGCTATTAAAATGGCTTTTTCCCAGTTTGAACACATGTTTGGTAATATTTGTTTGGGAGTGGGGATGGTTAAGTATCTGGATCGTCCTGTTTCTTCCCTTGCCCCACCTAGTTTTTAAACCTATTTCTTCCTCTTGGATTGGATTCTTCAGTTTTTTAGTTTGATATTTCCTGTTTCTGGAAAGGAACCATGTTGAGCCATAGTTGTACACAGTTCACTGTTACATACCCAGTTAATAATTTGCTGTATACTCTGCCATCAGGAATGTGGTAATCTCTTTATTACATCACCTCATTCAGTACAAGCTTTCAACAGCTGTACTGCTACTGCATGTCAGGCACTGTGCTTAAGATTCAGTGGTGAACAACACAAACAGGTAGCTCATGAATCTTACCTTCTGAAATCCAGGTGGAGGTATTTTCCTTTATTAGGCAAAGAGGACTGGAAAAGAATACTTTTGGCCTGGCTTCCTTTTTCTGGAGCTGAGGACAAAGAAAAGGGAAGCCATACAGAGTAGAGGCAGAGCTTAGGACCACTTCCAACCTGCCAGGCAGATGCAGCTCTGGATATGCCAGCTGAGGGCTTCCCTTGTGACTCAGCTAGTAAAGAATCCGCCTGCAATGCAGGAGACCTGGGTTTGATCCCTGGGTTAGGAAGATCCCCTGGAGAAGGGAAAGGCTACCCACTCCAGTATCCTGGTCTGGAGAGTTCCATGGACTGTCTAGTCCATTGGGTCACAAAGACTCAAGACACGACTGAGCAGCTTTCACTTTTTTCATGCCAGCCGAAGGGAGACAGGTTGAGCCGACCTCACAGGAGAAACTTCTCCTGAGCTCATAGAAGGACTAGGCGTGGTTGCCAGAGGCCTCGGGTTCCAGAACCATGCCAGTGTTTCCTTCTCTCTTCTGATGGGCTGATTAAGAGGAAACTGACCACCTGTCAAACCAATCGAACCTAAAGGAAATCAGTCCTGAATATTCATTGGAAAGACTGATGCTGAAGCTGAAACTCCCAATCCTTTGGCCACCTGATGCGAAGAACTGACTCATTGGAAAAGACCCTGATGCTGGGAAAGATTGAAGGCAGGAGAAGGGGACGACAAAGGATGAGATTGTTTGGCATCACCAACTCATTGGACATGAGTTTGAGTAAGCTCTGGGAGTTGTTGATGGACAGGGAAGCCTGGTGTGCTGCAGTCCATGGGGTCGCAAAGAGTTGGACACGGCTGAGCGACTGAACTGAACTGACTACCTGTGAGCCCTTTTCTCCCTCTCCTGGCATATTCAGAGCCACAGCCTAGGCAAAAACAAACAGTGCCTCAAGTACTTAACTGGGAGGCAGGCAGCACAGCCTTGTCCAAGATAAGCACCTTGACCTTGCCCTTAGTCCTGACCTCAGATCCCAGATTCACAGTATCAGCCATGTGATCTTTGGCAAGTTACTTGTCTTCTGAGCTTGCGTTTCTTCATCTGTTAGTGTGTACCTCAGGATTAGTGAGAGCTAAGCAAGCTAGTGGAGTGAAAATTGCTTAGCCAAGTGTCTAGCATATAGCAAGAACTTCAATAAATGATAGCTGTTGTTATTTAGCTTTAATCTGAGGCTTTTCTCAGATGAAAATTAAAATTAATCTTGGTATTTTGGGGTTCACTGTCATCTGAGCAAACCACATCTCTTAAAATTATAGTGTATGTGTTTATTCTGATACAGGGAGCTCCAGAAGCTGCTCTGTCCTGCTTTGTCCCTGTTGGCAAAAAATTGAGATTCTCGCCCCCCCCCCCCCCCCCCGCCCCGCCAAACTCAGCATGCTAAAGCTGAGGACAGGGTGGTGGGTGATGATTTTCCATCCTATGTGGACATGTCCTGATACTACCTTTTCCTTGCTAACCATTCCTCAGGCTGGAGTCAAGAGGGCAAACAAGAAGGCCCAGCTTTGGGTTTGACTCTCAAGATGACCAGCTGGGAGGAAAAGCAACAGGCAAAACAGGCTCCTGAGGCAGTGGAATAGTGAGACTACATCATTGTTACACTGGTGATAGTGCCTACTGAAGAAGCGCCAGAGCTGTGTGCACATACAAAATAAAGGTCATGCCACCTAAAGGGAGAATGCTGGGCAAACTAGAGGTGGAGATGGCAAAACAGGAACAGAAGGGCTGCCACAGTGAACAGAGAAGCAGGACAACTTGACTAGGGCAGAGTTCTCTCATCTCAGGGAACCTGTGCTCAAGTTTCAGGATTTCATACCTATCCCCTTCACCCAGGATCCCTGCTACAGTGAGTATCTTGGTCTGTGCAAATCCTGGAGCCAAACACTGTATATATAGGTGGCTAAGGACAACCAGCACTGGCCTCTGCCACTTTTTTTACAGCCAAGTTGGGGAGAACTAGCAACAAGACCCACATTTGTGTTGTGTGTGAAGTACACTAGAATGTTTTCAAGTGGGGTCCTCTCATAGCCACGCTTTGAAGCTATGAAGGAAGCTATGAAGCTGCCAGGGTAGTCACTTTTAAGGGTAAGTAGTAATCCGTGCAAAAATGACTCCTGTGTCCCCAGATTCAGATTCATGTCTAAGCTGAGGTTAGTTTCTTGGTTTGATTTCTTGTCTCTCCCATTGTCACTATCCCCTCATTCATATTTTATCAACTTGATTTGCCGAGAAGAGTATTATCAATCAAAAGGGCTTCCTATAGAAAGTTCCATTAATTCTTGTCACACATTAAGTTCAGATATTGAAGTGGAAGGACAGCAGAGAGAGATGGAATTGGTCTGAATCTATATTATCAGAGATAGTGAAGTAACTGCCCAGCTACAGTTTAGCAAGTGCCATGCTAGAATTCAGCATTGTGATTTATACATTCTATTTATTTGAAAATGTGTTAGATTCTGAGTTAGCCATCAGAGCACCTTAGAGGAGAAAGGCTTGCCTCATAGAGTTTAGGTGAGTTAAATGCTGAACTGACCACCAAACAATTTGGCCTACTTGCCACCTCATGAGGTACCTAAGTCAGCACTGAGTTCTATGTGAGCATGAGAAGCTATGTCCCTTAGCCACCTGGGCCCCTGCACTTTAATTTCTCTCCTGTCTTTACCATGAGGTGGTAGTCTTCCTGCCCTCCCTCTACTATCCCCCAGCCCACTTTCTCACAAGGACTGCATATTTACTTTTCATAGCCATGTGTGTCTCCTGGTCTTCCCAGCTTGCACTTACTCAATCCATCAGCTCTTTCAGGATATTTTCTGTGTTCTTTTCTGAATTACTTGCTGACTTTTCCCTTCTGTTTCCTACTAGGAACCGTCTTATCAAATCAAACTCACTTTTGTCTTTCATGCCCCTTCCCTTCTGCCCACTCCCCCAACACTCATCTGTGCACAAACTTGCATATTTCTGCCTTTGCTCAGACAGTTCTTTAGGTTTACCCTGCTTCTCTCTTCTCTACCTTTGCTCAGACAGTTCTCTACCCTGCTTCCCTCTTCTCAGGCTTTTCCAGTCCTGATTTCGAGGCAAGTCACTTAACGCCTTAGAGCCTGTTTTCCCATCTAATAAATAGGCCTGATAATCCATCAGGGTGGAATGAAACTACAACGAAAAATATTTTAAGTTGGACACTCTTTGTAAAAGTTTGTGTACACTTTAATTTTTGGCTCCACCACGAGGCTTACAGAATCTTAATTCCTCGACTGGGGATTGAATCTGCCCCCCACAATAGAAGTGCAAAGTCCTACCCACTGGGCTGCCAGGGAATTCCCTATGTACACTTGCATGTAAACATTTCTTCCCAGCTACCTCCCCTTCCACATACACACACATCCTATTTACGGAGTGCTGGGGGTGGTGGAAGTGGGACGTGGGCCCTGCTGTCTAGCGATATGTAGTCTCACAGCCGCACAAACTACAGACTGTATGTGATGAAGTGCCAAACTGAGCTTTGGGGAATTCTGAGAAAAGCGATGACGTGTTTTCCAGGGTCCCTTCAGTTAAATAATGACAGCTACCTCAATCTTGTTGAACCTCTCTTAGGCCAGTGCTCATCTGCCTGTCCCCTCACTCCCTGCTCCAGAGCTCAGATTCCTAGGCACATGTGAGGCTCAGTTACCTATGACCCTGTGGCTCTCAACATTTTGGTCTTATTCTTTGACCATATCAATACTGTCACGAATGAGAGAGGGAGGATCAGACCAGGTTGTGGCTAGAGCTCAGGTCTGATTTGATTTTAAACCCTAAAGGGAGATTTAATACGTGTTGGGAAGGAAGCATGACCCGAGTTGAGGGAATATTGCAGGGCCAGGGTGCATGGGAAGACTACCCTAGTTGAGTAAGGAGCTGGAGAGTTGATTCTTAGGAGGCTTCTTAGATTGCTGCTGGGTAAGGTGATCAAGTCTAGAAAGGGAGGGATATTTGCTCACCTAGGAGCTCACTGTAAGATCTGGAATAAGAATGATATTCAACATGAACTGGAAGGGAACGCAGGTGTCTCAGTGACCCAGTCCCTGAGGAGGTAGACCTCAGTTACATCTAAGAGTTGGTCTGACTACAATGTTGTAGAGTAATTGGCCTCCAACTAATAAAAATAAATGAAAAAAAAAAAAGAGTTGGTCTGAGTGGACAAGTGCAAATGTTTGTGGCTTCTTTAATCAGAAAAACAGCATTTTTTTGTATGCACTCCCGGTCAAATTTTTATTCATCCCTTGAAGCCTGACCCCCTCAGGCCTCAAGCTGAAAGAGCAGGCGGCTGGAGACACTTGAGTTAGAAATCAAGACCCTCATCTGGGTTGAGAGCTGCCCCAACACTTGGTGTCCACCTACTCTGGCCCTCCACCCTAGGCAGAGAGCAGAAGTAGGTGGCAGGAGCGCAAAAAGTGAGCTCCGCATTAGAGGACTGGCCAGAGGGCCTTCGGAGAGTTGAGTCGGCCAGAGGACAGGTGTGCACATCCCCCGGAGAAAGCAGGCCCAAGGGGTCCGAGGTCTGAGGGGTAGGAAGGTGGGATAAGTCCTTACAGAGCGCACAGGTTGATGAAACCACCACCAGGGGGCGCTGCCCTAGGGGCGGGGCATGCCAGACGCCCGAGGGCACTGTGTGAGCCTTGACCTATAGTATAGAGTGGGGGAGCGAAAACAGAGAGCGCCTTTCCCCGCGCCCCGCCTCCCTGGCCCCGCCTTCCAGGCCCCTGCCCCACCCCCGGCTCCGCCTCTACCCGCCCCGCCTCCGGCCGCGGCCCCTTCCTCCCGCAGCTGGTGCTGTGGGGCCGCGGAGCCGCGCATCGCCGTCTGCATGGCCGGGGATCTCCTAGCAAAGGTGAGACAGGCGTGGGGTGCGGGCAGCGGCAAGGCCTGCGCCGGGGGCCGGGGGCCAGGCCAGGCCTTCCCTACGTCTGTTAAACCTTCCAGGCTTGGCCAGGCCTTTCTCACCGCCAAGTCCCCTGGTCCCGCATAGAAGCTCAAGAGGGGCGCGGGCCAGGCCTCCGGCGGCGCTGGTCGCAGACCTGCCACCGCAGAATCGGGATCTGGAGTGGGGCGGGGGCCCGCGTGGTGAACAGTGTTCCCCGGGATCTGGGTCATGTATCCTGGCGTCTGGCGGGATCGAAGGAGAGCTCGTCCTCGAGCTGCAGCAGTAGAGACTGAGGTTAGATCAGAAGAGAGGAGAGAACCGCGGACTGTCCAGGATGAAGGAGGGAGAGGGTAGCGGGGGAGGGGCTCTCAGGCCAGGAGAGACCGCCATCCTACTGGGCAGAGACGGATACCGCCTACACTGGGCAGGTGGACATCTGGGATGAAGGTCGACAGCCTGCCTATCCTACATTGATCCTGGTGGCTACCCTCCTCAGTTCCCTCCTCCCCAAGATCTAACAGCGGGAAGGTGGTCAGAGTTCAGGGGGCCGGCCCTGGGGGAGGATCGCAAGCTTTGGAACCGGAGATGGTGTGTGGGATGTGGACTGGAGACCTTGAAGCCTTGTGGTCACTGGGGGAAGGGGGTAGCAGCTCCGCCTGTCCCCCCCGCCCCATTTAGCCCCACCCTCCTGCCCAACAGGTTAAATGCAGGCTGAGCGCTCCGGCCCAAATCCCATATCTAGAACTGCAGTAGACATGGGAGTAGAGGTGGGTTAAGTTCCTATTCCATTGCATCTTTACTTTGCTAAATCAAGGGGCCTCCTCCTACCTGGGTTATGTAGCCCCTCCCTCCCTTGCCAGACTGGCCTTGACCCATGCATGCATCCTATTTGAGCATCTGAGATCAGAAACTTCCCTCCTCTTTACACACACACACTCACAAACACAAACTTGGATTCTGGCCTTAGAATTAGGACTATGGGGAAGGGAGGCAGGGTTCTGCTCTGCATCTCACCCCCAGTGGATACTGGTAGCCTCCAAGCCTGCCGTGAGAATTGGACCCCTGTCTGTACATACACTTGTCTCTGCGTGGATGTAATTGTATGTTTGAGGACTGTGTGCATACAAATGTAGTTGATCCTTTTGTGGACATGATGGTGCCTGACCCATGTATCAGTGGGATTGTGTGTGTGTCCCTACAGGTGCAGGACCCTCCTGTGAATAGGTGTACAGTTTTCCATATACGTGTGGGTATATAACCCTCCTTGTTAACCCCTGAGACTGGGTGCCTTGCTAACTGAATGGGCATGTGAATACAACTTTACATGTAAATATGTAAAGACAGGTGGCAGGCCCTTTAGGTAAACATACGTGTACAGACCTTGCTGTGAATGTGTGTGCCTGACTCTTCATATGTACGTGTGCTCATAGCCCTCCTATGAATATGTATGTGTGTGTATCTATGTGCAAGCACATCTCCCTCCTCTGGACATACTTGACTCATTTAAACCTCTGTTGGTGGGCCAGGCACCACACTCTGAGTGGTTCCTCTGACCTGGGGTGTATTCCTCTTGCCCAATCCTAGAGACTGATCCCTCCTAGCCTTAGGGCTCCCCCCGCCCCTGCCCCACTTCTGCACTAAGCAAATAGCAGGCCCCAAAGGTAAACAGGTGTGCCTCCACAGTGAGAGATGGGGCCTGGGCAGTTTGCCTGGGGCCTCTTGCTGCCCCAGCCCCCAGACCAGGATCCGATGCCCCTCCTGTGGTCCAGGGAGCCTCTTCAGTCTACTCATACTCCATTCTCCATTTTTGGGCTCTGCTCCAGAACAGTAGTGACCTTTACCTCTTGAAAAAACCCTCCAAAGTCCTGTTCTCCTTCTGGCCAATTCCCAGTCCCTCCCCTCTCTTCAAGGCCACCTAGTTAATATTTGACCTGGAAGGAAAGGGAGAGGCCAGTGGCCCCTCTGGTTTTGTCTCATGAGATTGGGTAAGTCAGGTTTTCTCCACACCGAGCCCAACCAAGGAACTTCAGAGATCAGGCCTGAAGTTCAGGGGTCAGATCAGACCTGCCACCTATCCCAACCCCATCCCCAGCTGGTTGCCATGGGGGAGGGTCCAGGTGTGGTAACAGTTTCCAAGATGTACCAAGGGAGGTGGCCACCATCTCAGGGATCCTGTCGTTCCCCTTTTCCATGTTGCTCATGTCTCAGCTGTGTGACCTTGCACACTTAAGCTTCCTGTACCAGTATGACAACTGCACGGCTTGGCGGGGGGCGGGGTGGGGGGAGAGGGGGCAGATACCATCTTGGTGCCTGTGAGTGCCTGTTTGCAGGTAGGGGCACGTGTGGATGCTTAGCCAGAGGGTACAGTACAGACTCGCTTGGGCAGGGCAGAGATGTGCACCCCCTTGGAGAGGAATGCTGAGGAGGAGAAATATCTAATTAAAGAGAAATTCCAGAGGGAGCTTTCAGGCCCGGGAAAAGAAAAAACAAAGGGAAAACAGGACAAACTAAACAAAGGCCCATTAAGCATCTCTGCCCAGGCCTTCCTGCATAAGGCACCCCCGCAGGCAGAGGGGCAGCTACTGCCCGAGTTGGGTCTCACTGCTGGGAGAAGGCTTCTTCCTGAGAACCTGGGCTTTACCAAGATGGAGGCCTAGCTGAGCTTCTGACTAGGTTACAGAAGGGCTGTCACCTGAGATTTGGGTTGAAGGGAGTCTAGGGTCTTGTAAAGCGGGCAAGCTCCACCCAGCTTCCTGCATCTGAACAGCAAGGACAGAATAATGGGGTTCATTCCTCTTGTGGGAGTTTTGTAGATGCTGGGCCTCCTCACTTTGATATCACCTGAACTCAGAGGGGAATGCTATCTACTTTCCATCTACACACAGATGAAAGGACTTTTTTTCTGTTTGTTTTTTCTTTTCTTCAGAAAACAGACCTCAGTGAACCAGAACTAGCCCTGCTGTTGGGGCAGGGTGACCCCACCAGTGACCTACAACCCCTGTGTGACCCCACCATGGAGTTTGTAACTGATGCCGAGAGGCAGCCTGGAATCCACCCCTCTTCTTGACCTCTTACCTGGGATTCCATGGCGGCACAATCATGTGATTCCATGTCTTCCCAATTCCAGGACCCTCCCTGGCCCCATGACCTCTGACCTTGTGAACAACCTCCCTGGACCTTAATCCCTGTGACTGTTCTTCCCATCATCCCCCAGCCTCTGGCCCTGGCTCCCTTTGGGGGTCTTGTTGGTCTGAGCCTCCCCAGGAAGATGTGGGGGAGGCTCTGGCCCCTCCTCCTGAGCTTCCTCACAGCAACTGCAGTCCCTGGACCCTCACTGGGGAGACCATCCAGAGAATTAGATGCCACCCCGCGGATGACCATCCCCTATGAAGGTTTGACATCCCCAACCTCAAAAGGCAGCAGGAGCCAGGGGCTGAAGGTGGGGAGGCAGTCCCAGGGCTGGGCTCACAGATCCTGCTCTCCCCAGAGCTCTCTGGGACCCGGCACTTCAAGGGCCAAGCCCAGAACTTCTCAACACTGCTGCTGGAGGAGGCCTCCGCAAGGCTGCTGGTGGGAGCCCGAGGTGCCCTGTTCTCTCTCAATGCGCACGACATAGGAGACGGGACTCACAAAGAGGTCAGCCCCTGGAGCCTAGACCGCCCAGAGGGTATCCAGCTTCATTCAGCATCTTAGGACCTCAACTTCCCGGAAACCCTGTCAGTCTTCCGTAACCCCCTGGTCAGACAGCACTGCCTTTCCTGGCCCAGGTCTCCTTTACATCCAATTCTCCTTCTGACACTTACCTCACCCTGGGGTCCTATCACCTTGTCCCACAGGTAATGGGGAAAAGCAAAGGGATTGTGTTCGATGCATCAGCCTATTCCCTTTACCACCCCCTCCAGATTCACTGGGAGGCCTCCCCAGAGATGCAAAGCAAATGTCATCAAAAAGGGAAAAACAACCAGGTATGTGATCCGCCCTGTTCCCAACCCCTTTCCTCTTTCTCTTCAGTGGGGGTTCTCACGGTTGGTGGGGATACAGAGGTACAGATGGATAGGTACAGATGGAGAGGTACAGATCAGTTCGTCAGTTGCAGCAACCACAACGGACACTGTGAGTGTCGCTGGAGTGGCAGGCCTGGGAGCAATACTTGTAATGCAAACATCTGGTGACCTACTAGCGTGGTTTTGGATATTATCTTAATCTCCTCTGGGCTCCCAAATAATAATCATGATAACAATAGGTAATCTCTAGTAAGTGCTGATTTAGCTATTATCTAATTTCATTCTAAAATAATCCTAGGAAATGGTGTTATCCTTCACTATCAATGAAAAAAATGAGGCTTTGGTCAAGGAATAGCTCAAGTACCCACTTTTCTGTAGGTATTAGTGAAGTGTCGGGCTTCCTTGGTGGCTCAGACAGTAGAGTGTCTGTCCTCAATGCGGGAGACCTGGGTTCAATCTCTGGGTCAGGAAGATTTCCCCTGGAGAAGGGCATGGCAACCCACTCCAGTACTCTTGCCTGGAAAATCCCATGGACAGAGGAGCCTGGTGGGCTACAGTCCATGGAGTCACAAAGAGTCGGACAGTGGACATGACTGAGCAACTAACACTCTCTAGTGAAGTGTCAGCCCTTTCTAGCTAAAGAACAGAATGTCTACAGGGGTCCTATGTCTGGCTATGTAACAGATTCATCCGGAGAGCTTTTTACACAGTGTTTTTGTTGTTTTATGGTGTGGCACATCGGAATCTTAGCTCCCCAACCAGGGATCAAAACGGCACCCCCTGCAGTGGAAGCACAAAGTCTTAACCACTGGACTGCCAGGGAAGAACCTGGAGAGCTGTTTGAAAATACCCCAAGGCCCACAAGCTGGGGGATTCTGACTTAGTGGGTCTTCGGCACTTAAAGGCGTCTCCAGGAGATTTCATCAAAGGATGCCTCTAAGTGTAACATGGGTGGGAAATGGAGCTGGTGAAGCATATGGAGCCCAATTTATGGAGGGCTATTAACACCCAGCTGGGGGTTTGGATTTTATTCTATGACAGTGGTACCCTCACCATTTGATATTTTAGAGACTTTCAAACTTTAACATGCACTTAAATCACCTGGGTGTATTATAAATGCAGGTGCTAATTCAGAAGATCTGGGGAAGGGCATGCGATTCAGCGATTCTAATGAGCTTCCAGATGAAGCTGACACACTGCTGGTCCCAGACCATTCTTTGACTTTAGAAGAACATTTCCCAAAGCATGTTCTGAGAAGCAATAATTTTCAAAAGAGATGTTTAATAGTTAGATGAGTCTGGAAAATGCTGCATGCTCAATCCTACAATGCACAGCGATACTCTTAAGGCTTTTGAGGTGTCCCCAGTAAAGGTAGCTTTTACCTGTGGTTTTCTATTCATTTGACCACAGAACTCCCCCTCCCTCCTTCCCCCTTTTTAATGGAAACATCTTGGGGAAACACTATTTTAAGAATATTTATCTGGTCTCAGGCACTAAATGAATTAAAATAGAGTGAGTCTGGAGACAAGAAAGGTAGTGCAGAGGTGGGGGGCATATGGGTCAGAGGAGGGAGGCCTGAGCAGGCTGGTGGAGAGGAGGGCTGAATGCCAAAGTCTGCACCTGGTGAGGGTGGGGTAAAGACATAGGGGCCTGAATGGACTCAAACCCTGGGTAACAGGCAGGAAGAGGAATCATTAACAAGGCAAAGAAGTCAAGAGGGCATCAGCTTAGGGCACTTGATGGGCAAGAGAAGCCCTCTGTGGCTGCAGGAGGGTGAATGAGGCCACAGGAAGGGGCAGGGCTCTGTCATGTAGGGCCAGGAGCATGTGGGGCCCTATGTTCAGGACTCTGGTGAGTCACAGAAGGGTTTTAAATACAGCAGTGACATGATCTGGTTTACATTTTTAAAATATGCCTCGGAAAGTGGGTTGCAAGAGGGTGCTGACTGGTAGAATCTCTCTGAAAGGAAAATCCAGACAATGGTAACAGCAGTCTCCTTTGAAGGCAACAGGATAAAAAAAGAGACTGTTTACAACATATCCCTTTGTACCTTTTGAATTTTACACCGTGTGCATGTATTCCTCATTCACTGAATCAATAAACAGCTTTTGTAAAGACAGGCACAGAGGTGCGGGAGCTGGCAGGTGGTCGCTGTGGCTGTCCAGGGAAGGAATGACGGTGATGATGTGGACTAGGGTGGGGGCAGTGGAGGGGAAGTGGACCGAGTCATGGGACATGTAGGAAAAGACCTAATCACAGAGAGAGACTGAATGTGGGAGTGAGGGAATGGGAAGCAGCAAAGATGATGCCTGGTTTCTGGACTGAGGAATAGGATGGACGGGTGAAGTGAGGTGGGAAAGACTGGAAGAACAGGTTTAAGAGAGAAGATGCACAGGACGGAGGAGGGGACGAGCTTGATTTCTGACAGCATGAGTTCGACATGTCTGTGGGCTAGCAGGTGGAGCAATGGCTGGAACCTGGGGGGTAGGTTTGGTAATGCCACCCTGAAGCGGGTGTGGGAGCTCCATGACTGGCAGATGGTGTTGAGAAGATGCAAGAGAGAAGCATTTTCAGGTGGTGAGAGCCCTTGGAGCCCCCAGACTAGGGAACTGCAGAAGATGCAGGAGAAGCCAGCCAAGTGTGTCAGGTAAGCTGAGCTAGCCAAGGGAAGAGGAGTCATGCCCCTGGGAGACCAAAGGACAGTGAGTTCCCGGGAACAGTCTGTGTCCTGAGCAGTGAGAACACCCACCAGGATCTTAGAAGGAATTGTTTGTCCTGTGGGTGGGGGCAAGGGCCAGACCACAGAGCTGGCCTAATGGAAGTAGTCTCTAAGGAGGCCCAGGGCTCACAGCCTTCCTCGTCTATCCCACAGACTGAGTGTTTCAACCATGTGCGATTCCTGCAGCGGCTCAATGCCACCCACCTCTACGCATGTGGGACTCACGCCTTCCAGCCTCTCTGTGCAGCCATTGTGAGTGTGTTTGCCCCTGCTCCCTGACCCTGGACCCGTCTGACCTTTGGCGAAAACCCGGCCTGTCAGGATCACTGATTTTGGGCCCTTCCTCCCCCAGGATGCTGAGACCTTCACCTTGCCAACCAGCTTTGAGGAGGGGAAGGAGAAGTGTCCTTACGATCCAGCCCGCGGCTTCACTGGCCTCATCATTGGTAAGCATGCTCTCCTCTCCACACAGGCCCCTCAACCACAGGCATGCTGTCTGTGGGGCATGGATCTCATTGCTAGGACTTGTCACCCATGTAGTATTGTGTCTTGTGTGTGACGTGTCTCTCACGCTAGACATGTTTGTGCCTCAGATGGAGGCCTCTACACAGCCACTCGGTATGAATTCCGGAGTATCCCTGACATCCGCCGGAGCCGGCACCCACACTCCCTGAGGACAGAGGAGGCACCGATACACTGGCTCAATGGTTAGGGGGATGAGGCCCAGGGTGGTGGGGGGCAGGGGACTGTTTCTGCATCCGTACTCCCTTGGGCAGTTGACCATCATCCCATCCCCAAATCCCCAGGTGAGCCTATCTCTTCCTGCGTGTGGTTGAATAAGGGCAGTGTGGTGGGGGTGGGGGCGGTGGGTGGAGATCCCCAATCTATCTCAGAAGCCACCTGACCCACAGATGCTGAGTTTGTGTTCTCCGTCCTGGTGCGGGAGAGCCAGGCCAGTGCCGTGGGTGACGACGACAAAGTTTACTACTTCTTCACGGAACGTGCTGCTGAGGAGGGTGCAGGCAGCTTTGCTCAGAGCCGCAGCAGTCACCGCGTGGCCCGTGTGGCCCGCGTGTGCAAGGTGAGGAGGACTGAGGTCAGGGCAAGGGTGTAGAGGGTGAATCTCTGACCCTGGCGATTGACCCCCTGCCCCCTGCTTCCCCAGGGAGACCTGGGAGGGAAGAAGATCCTGCAGAAGAAGTGGACCTCCTTCTTGAAGGCGCGCCTTATCTGCCACATCCCACAGTACGAGACACTGCGCAGTGTCTGCAGCCTGCAAGCTGATACCTCAGCACACACACACTTCTATGCGGCCTTCACGCTGACCACACAGTGGTCAGTTCAGGGATGGTGGGAAGGCGAGGGATGGGGACAGCATAGGGGCTGGAGCAGAGGTCAGGGGAGATGAGACAGGACCCCCTGGGGGGAAGCCAGCCACAGAAGGAGAACTTCAGGCACATCCAGGGGTCTGCTGCCACTCAGGAGAGGGCTTGTGGACTTGGAGCTGGGATTGGTCAGGGCAACGGTGGGCTCCAAACTGGGCAGGTACGCAGGCTCCTTTCAGTGTGACTCAGCCCTCTCCCCTCCATCTCATCCTTAGGAAGACCCTGGAGGCCTCAGCCATATGCCGCTATGACCTGGCCGAGGTGCAGGCTGTCTTCGCAGGCCCCTACATGGAATACCAGGATGGTGTCCGGCGCTGGGGCCGCTACGAGGGTGGGGTGCCAGAGCCCCGGCCTGGCTCGGTGAGTGCTGAGGCCTGGGGTCAGTGCTGAGTAGACAGGACCCCTAAGATGGGGAGGAGGTCTAACCTTGTGGGGAGGGTGGGCCAGTGGTAGAGTTCTAAGATTCACCACCCTATTCCCCACCACAGTGCATTACAGATTCATTGCGAAGCCAAGGCTACAACTCATCCCAGGACTTGCCATCTCTGGTCCTGGACTTTGTGAAGTTACACCCACTGATGGCTCGGCCTGTGGTGCCCGCACGCGGACGGCCCCTGCTGCTCAAGCGCAGTGTGCGCTACACACACCTCACAGGGACACCTGTCAGCACACCCGCCGGACCCACCTATGACCTGCTCTTTCTGGGCACAGGTGCTTCTGACCCCTGGCCTGAGCCCTTTGGTGACTGCTGGCCTGAGTCCTTGATCCCTGTTGACATCCAGTCCCCTGGATGACCCCGATCACAAAACCCTGGTGACCATTGATGTTGATTCTTCAGTGAACACTCACTACTGGTCCCCAAGGACCACTAGCTCTTGGTGACTGCTGACTCCTGTCACCAACCACAATGACATTTGACCCTGGTCACTAATGCTTCTAAATCCAATAATTCTTGCCATGACTAGCTTGGAGTTTCCAATCTCGGGAGAACCCACTGCTACTGGCTGAATCCTTGTCCCTGACCTCAGGACTCCAAGCTGTTCCCATTAGGCTATTTATTGCAGGGGGCTGAGAGTAGATTCCACTGTTGGAGTCTGACCTTCTGCCATTCCCATACCAGCTGATGGCTGGATCCACAAGGCTGTGGTCCTGGGCTCTGGGATGCACATTATTGAAGAGACACAGGTGTTCAAGGAGCCCCAGTCTGTGGAGAACTTGGTCATCTCTCTGATGCAGGTAGCCCCTGACTCATGACCCTCAATATTCTGGTCTTGCCAGAGTAGACAGAGGGAGGTGGAAGGTTGGACACTGGCTGCGTGTGTGTGTGTCTGTAAGTGGGAGTGAGGTGCTGCCAACCAGCTGTTCTCTCTGACTCCTAGCATAGCCTCTACGTGGGGGCCCCAAGTGGCGTCATCCAGCTACCACTGTCCAGCTGTTCCCGCTACCGCTCCTGCTACGACTGCATCCTGGCCCGGGACCCCTACTGTGGCTGGGACCCCAGCACCCATGCCTGCATGGTGACCACCACCGTAGCCAACAGATCCCAGAGTAGCAGGTGAGAGGCATGGGGGTTGGGGGGCAGAGTTCGAGGGTCCCATTTGCCCTGGGGATCAGGGCCGAAGGGGTGAAGGAGGGCCTGCCAGCTGCGGGGAGTAGGGTCCAGTGGTTAGTAACAGCTTTACTGACCCATCCACTGGGGAAACTACAGCCCAGTTCCCCTTGTTCTTGAATCCCAATCCTCTGTCTCCAGGACAGCACTCATACAGGACATGGAAAGAGGAAACCGAGGCTGCGAGGGCAACAGGGACACAGGTAAGTGACATCATGGCCATGTGTGGGTCTGGTAGCATAGTCTGTCCTCTTTACCATTTGATGCCATTTGTATGTGCATATATATATCTGAATGACTCTGTTTGTGCTTTCAGTGAGAATGACCCAGCACAGAGTAAGTATTCAACAAACATTTGTTGCAAAACGCAAAGTTATAAATAGGAAAACAGATTCAAGATGTGAAGTTTTTCCTCACTACTGGAGCTTACAGCCAAGTATGTGCACAGGCAATTAAATGATCACACAATAAATTACAATTATTTTTTTGTTTTTTTTGATACAAAAGAAATAATTACAACTATGACAAGGGTTTGAGAGATAATAGGTTCTTCCCCAAGGAAGATCAGATGACTGAGCTGATATCTGAAGCAAGAGCAATAATCATAATAATCATAGCTAATATGTACCGAGGATTTACCATGCTGCGAGCACTGATCAAACACACACATTTCATTTGTTCTCAGAGCATTCCTATGAGAAAGGTGCCATTATTACCATCTCCATGAGGGGCAATCTCTCCGAGTAACAGAAAGAATAAGTAAACTACCCAAAATCGATCAGCTCTTAAGCAGTAGGGTCAGAATTTGAGCCTAATCCCAACCAGGCTGACCGGAATCTGTGCTTTTGTTCACTGTTATGCTTTCTCCTCCAAGTTAACCTGGCTAATACAGGGCACAAGGAAGGGGACGACACCCAAGTAGAGGGAAGAGCAAGCTTGGTGTCTGAACAAGAGAAAAGGCTGGAGAGGTGGGCAGGACTGTGCTGAGGCAGGGGGATGGCATCATCAGCTTAGTGTTTTTAAAAGGTCACCCCACTAAAAAAAAAGTCACCCCACTGCTGTGTAGAGAATGGATTAGGTGAGGGCCAGCAGCTGGGGAAGGAGAGACGTGAAGGTCTGAGAAAGATTCTGGAAGCAGAATCTTAGTGAGGGTTAGATACAAAGGTGAAGGGGAGAGAGAGACAAGGGAGACTCAAGTTTCTGGGAAATGGCTGGTGGTGCCATCAAGAAAAATACAGTGTAGTCTAAGAGGGAGGTTTTGGCCTCAGTTCCTGTGACATGTCCAAGAGATGCACGGCACGTAGAAGAAAGTGAAGTCTATGCTCAGTAGAAAACTCTGTTGGAGACAGAGATGAGGAATCACTAGTAGATGTCAGGAACTGAAACCACTGACATGGCCAACTGAACTTTGCGTGGGAGCATGAGCACAGAGGGCTTAGTCCTATAATTCGAGATTCTGTGCTTGGTGCTGGGGACCTAACAGTGAACCACCTGGCTTGCCATCTCCAGTGCCCTCCCAGGATAAGCAGGATAAACTGACCACATTCTCCTGTCCCTTGCTCCCTCCAGGGCCACCACCACCACTGAAGACCCGTTCTGTGCTCCGGGGCGATGATGTCCTATTGCCCTGTGACCAGCCATCCAACTTGGCCCGGGCCTTGTGGCTGCTCAATGGGAGCATGGGCCTGAGCGATGGGCAGGATGGCTACCGCGTGGGTGTGGATGGGCTGCTGGTAACAGACACGCAGCCTGAGCACAGCGGCAACTACGGCTGCTATGCTGAAGAGAACGGCCTCCGCACCCTGCTGGCCTCCTACAGCCTCACGGTGCGGCCAGCCACTCCAGCCCCTGCTCCACAAGGCCCTGCCATGCCTGGGGCGCAGCTGGCTCCGGATGTGCGGCTGCTCTATGTGTTAGCCATTGCTGCACTTGGTGGCCTCTGCCTCATCCTGGCTTCCTCCCTCTTCTACGTGGCCTGTCTTCGGGGAGGTGGACGAGGGCACCATCGAAAATACTCACTGGGTCGGGCTGGCCGGGTAGGGGGCTCTGCTGTGCAGCTGCAGACGGTCTCAGGCCAGTGTCCTGGAGAGGAAGAGGACGGTGATGATGGGGAGGGGGTTGGGGGCCTGGAGGGTGGCTGCCTCCAGATCATCCCCGGAGAGGGGACCCCAGCCCCGCCGCCGCCGCCCCCCCCACCACCACCAACTGAGCTGACCAACGGGCTGGTGACGCTGCCCAGCCGGCTGCGCAGGATGAATGGCAACAGCTACGTGCTCCTGAGGCAGAGCAACAATGGAGTGCCAGCGGGGCCCTGCTCCTTCGCGGAGGAGCTCAGCCGCATCCTGGAGAAGAGGAAGCACACACATCTCGTAGAGCACCTGGATGAGAGCTCTGTCTGAGCCCAGGCTCCCAGGACAAATGCTCTTCCAAACCAGCCTGCCTGTACCAGGCTGGGCTGCTGCCTCCCCAACGGACAACTTACCCTCATCCCTGCAACTCCAGGCCCTTCTCCCAACTTTGTGATGTCCCTGTAGGGCTGGCCAGCGTCAGGCCCAACCAATGCCCCCTTCTCAGTCTCTCCACAGACCCATCTGTGAGCAGCCCAGGTCAACCGGTGCTCCTCAGAGGTAAGTGCCCCTCAGGCTCTGCAGTCCCAGCCCCCACTCCTCTTCCCTTTTAACCTAAGCACTTGGGAGGAGAGGATGCCATCTTCCTGCCCCATTCACCTGCTTACACCCTTTCTCTTTCTCCCAGGCAGGGCTCTGCACGTCCAGGTGGCCTCAAGGTCACCACCCTCTGCCTGGCCCTATGTGCTGGATGGTCCTGGAAACAAACCAGACCTCTGCCAGTCACCAGAGCCACCTGAGCCCAGCGTGCATTCACATGCGCACATGGAAGAATACCTATCAGCTGGGCTGCAGGGCCCCCACCCCCACCTCCTGGTGTATTCCTGCGTTTCATCCCTTCTTCTGAACTTTGGGTACCCTCTCAATTGCCACCTCCCATCCTATCTAGTCTTTTCCTGTAGTCCCAGCCCCATGTGATGACCTCTTTGGCAAGAGCTTGGCAACAGGCCAGCCTGGGAAGGTAAGACTACTGCATCCTTCCCTCTTCTCCCCTAATGTGTAGCCCTTGTGAGTCAGCCTCCCTACCCCTTGGTCACTCTCAGGAGTGCCAGAGACAGCTCCAGGCATGGTCTTCCTCACACACATGTGCTTTCATTTCCATTCACATGCACCTTCTGAGCCCCCCTTGCCGTACCAAACCTGTGTCTGTCAGATTTGGTCCATGAACATTTCAGAGAGAGAGCTGTCTCCCATTTAGCTGTCCTTGCAGACACTTCCTTAGGACGGGTGACCAACACTGCACTCAATGAGCCAGCCTCCCTTTTGCGGACCAAGCATTTGCTGCCCCTAGATCAGAGCAGGGGGAGGAGAGATCTGATGTCTCACCTGACACTGATGCCCGTTCTCGGAACTATGCAAAGGGCAGAGGTTGGGAGTCTGGATGCTTGGCTCCCACCCCTGTCCTACCTCACCGGGGCACTTTCAGGGTCCAGGGGCCTCTGAAGTCTCCAGGCCCACATGGGACAATCAAAACCTGACTGAACTCCCCCATTTCCCTCGGGTGAGGATGACTGTTATTTTTGTAGCTGAGAACGTGGAATCCCACGGATTTTTACTGCCCTTCACCCAACCTCTCCTTCCTCTACCCCACAATGAATGTATTTATTGTAAACTGGCTACACTTCTTTAGAAATGCCCCCGCTTAATGCCCCCGCTCACCAGGAAGGCAGGCGGGACAGGCATGTGACAAGAGTGGGGAGGCTGGGCTCAGCTCCTCCCCCTACTGTTGGTTAATAAATACCCTTTTCCCCACAGCTACTATGAGTGGTCTGCTTGGTCTAGGCTGGTCTTCCCCTGATCACCAGGAGACAGGCTTCTAAGCTTATGATAAAGATGTTTCAGGGTGGGGTTTGCTTTCCATAAACCATTTTCAAGCCTTCCCTGGTGGCCCAGTGGTAAAGAATTCGGCTGCCAATGCAGAAAACACGGTCCGGGAAGATCCCATAAGCAACTAAGCCCGTGCGTCGTGGCTACTGAGCCTGTGCTCTAGAGCCCGGGAATGCAACTACTGAGCTATTTGCCACAACTACTGAAGCCCCCATGCCCTAGAGTCTGTGCTTCACAAGAAGAGAAGCCACTGCAATGAGAAGGCTATGCACAACTAGAGAAAGCCAGTGTGCAGCAATGAGGACCCGACACAGCCAAAAATAAAATTATTAAAAATTTTGCAGAAGTTGGGATCCTCAGCTTCCATCCTGATTGTCCTGAATGGGCACCCAGTGGCTTTTTTAAATGATCACTATTTACTGATCATGGTGATAAGGGGATGACAAAATTAATGACAGTTCAAGAATTCATACAAAAGTTTCTAGGTTTTTACCTCCTGGCTTTTTTTCTCATCTCCTCCCCTCCCTAGGTCTAGAAGATGCTGCCTATTAATCAGATGGTCTGAGAATCACTCTTTGCAAGGGTTAAACCTAGATTAATCATATTGCCTTTGATACTACACCATCCTGAAGAGTTATTATTCATTTTGCTTCTGGTTTTAGGATAGTCAAAAAATGGTGTTACAGTTTAAAATGCACATATTTTGAAGCAAACTTCAAGTGTGACCTTGGCAAATTTATTAACTTCAGTTTTCTAATCTGCACACAAACATTCACATAGATATAAAGGGCCTAGCCCAATGCCAGGCTCACAGCAGACTCTCTTGGTCACTGGCTACAGAAACAGGCCAAAAGGAATTCTTCAGAAGCCAGCCCTGAAAGCCCTCACTGTGTTTTGAGATCACTATTATTGATTTGGATTTTAGAAATGAAGACCCAGTCAAATCTCTGAAGATTCTCAGGTTTCAGGATGCCAACTGGCTAAGAATGAGGAGACTCACAGTCCCTGCCCCTCACGGTGGACATCAAAAGAGACAGGCAGCTCTTCTTTATCCCAAGCAAAAGTACCCACTGGTGGACTCCATCTGTCTCCCGTGAAGCAAACCAGGAGCAGGAACCACCTCTGCTGGAGTGAGAGTCCAAACTCTGGGTATTAAGTTGGTCTTCATTAGGCTGGCCGCTCGGTCGGGGCAGGATTCTGGACCTCTCGAGGGCGCAGCCCGCCCAGTGCTGTCGGTTTGTTGGTGAAGGGGTGCCACTGGCCCTGGATGCTAGGACTGTCTGTGTGGAAGGGCTTGCGGATGCGGATCACGTCCAAGCCCGACTGGTCGGCCAGCTTCTGCATCAGCGTGGCGATCTCCTCGACCGACTTGCAGTTGAGGCTCTCCTCGCGCACAGCCCCATTAACTGGTCGAAAGGAGATGGGGATAACAGAAGCGGAGCAGGGGTCAGACGAGCGGCAGGCAAACGGGCCGAGCCCCCCTCCGACGGTGCCCTCTAGCCCTCGCCCGGCCCCACTCACGGTATTCGGCCACTACTCTTGGCACACAGCACGGCCGCGGGTTCACATATATGACGACCCCGGGATTCCGGCGGGCGAAGTCGGCCACCTCCCGTTCCACGAACTCCCTGAGGGACCCGAGAAGGGTGAGCAAGGTGACCCCTGACCCGGGGCGACCGCGGCTGGAGTCGCACCCCCATCCCCTTCCTCGGCTCACCTGGCGCCGCGGGACGAGGGCGCGTCACGGCTGAGGCTAAAGCTGAGGCGCTGCAGCTGCTGCACGTAGCGACCCAGCCCATTGTGTAGGACGCTCGTAAGGAAGCGGCTCGCGGTCCCGCGGGCAGTCATGGCCACAGCTCTCCGGTCGCCAAGCCGGGTCTCGCGGAGTCGGGGCGGGACGAACCGAAGGCTTCCGCTTCCGGTAATACTTGCAACGCGGCAGTTTTGCTTCCGAAGTCATGGCTAGTGGCTCGCGTGTGACCCATGTTGCAGGCGATAGGGGTTAGACGAGAGTGGTGACCCGGGGGCTGGGGTCAGGAGCGGCGGAGCTCCTAGCCGTAGAGCCGAGGAAGCCACCCGGCGGAGGCACAACGGGCGCCCTCCGGCGGGAGCGGCGGAGCAACACTATAGTTGCCTGGAGTCCCCTTGAGAGGAGCGGTGGAGCGGTCCTTTAGCAGGGGGCCCAGAGGAGAGGGACCACGGAAGGGACACAGACAGCCGCAGAGATGAGGACGACGAAGAGGGGCAGTGGAGGGGCGGTAGCGGCGAGGAGATGATCGAGAGAAACCGCGTCAGGAAGGGGCGGCGCGGAAGGTGGCAGAGGTGAGATAGCTGCGGAGGGACCGGCCAGAGGGACGCGGACGTGAAAAAGTCGTCTGGCGTGGATGTGAGGTGGCAATGTAGAGGAGCTGAAGAGGATTCAGAGGGAGAAGAGAGCTGCGTGCAGGGTCCCTAGGGTATGACCTAGTAGTGAAGGCACCCGAACCAGGCACCTAAGGCATTTCAAGCTGTAACTTCCTCCGTTTGAGTAGGAATGTGGGTCCTCCTCCGAAGCGGATATCCCCTCCGCATCCTGCTGCCCCTGCGTGGGGCTTGGATGGGACGGAGAGGCCTGCCCCGAAGCTTCGCCCCTGGCCCTCCTCGCAGACGGTACAGGAAGGAGGCTCTTCCCGCCTTGGAGGCACCAGTGTTGCCTGTAACCACAACTGAAATCCGCCAGTATTTGCGGGCCCGTGGGATCCCCTTCCAGGATGGACACAGCTGCCTGCGGGCACCGAGTCCTTTTGTGGGGGCCTCAAAGCTCAAGGACCAGACTGGTGCAGCCACTTCTTTCAGCCTGTTCATTGACAAGACCACGGGCCGCTTTCTCTGCATGACCACCCTAGCAGAGGGGAGCTGGGAAGACTTCCAGGCCAGCGTGGAGGGGCAAGGGGATGGGGCCAGAGAAGGGGTCCTACTCAGTGAGGCCCCAGAAGCTGAGGACAGTGAGGAGGTCCGGAGGATCTGGGACCGAGCCATACCTCTCTGGGAGCTGCCTGAGCCAGAGGAGGCCCAGCTAGCTCGCATGATGTTTGGCCTCACCAAAGTGACAGATGACACACTTAAGCGGTTCAGCGTGCGCTATCTGCGGCCTGCTTGCAGGCTTGTCTTCCCTTGGTTCTCCCCTGGAGGCTTGGGATTGCGAGGCCTGAAGCTACTAGGGGCCGAAACCCAGGGCGGTGGGGTGCAGTATGTGGAGACCACCATTCCCCGGCCTGGTGCCTACCACAACCTGTTTGGGTTACCACTGATCAGTCGACGAGATGTTGAAGTGGTATTGACGAGTCGTGAGCTGGACAGTCTGGCCTTGAGCCAGTCCACAGGGCTGCCCACTCTAGCCCTACCCCGAGGAACAGCCTGCTTACCCCCTGCCCTGCTTCCTTACCTCGAACAGTTCCGACGGGTTGTGCTCTGGCTGGGGAATGACCTTCGGTCCTGGGAAGCTGCCAAGTTGTTTGCCCGAAAACTGAACCCCAAACGATGCTCCTTGGTGCGGCCTGGGGACCAGCAGCCCTCTCCCCTGGAGGCTCTGAACCAAGGCTTAAACCTTTCTCGTATCCTGCGTACTGCCCTGCCCGCCTGGCACAAGTCTATCGTGTCTTTCCGGCAGCTTCGGGAGGAGGTGCTAGGAGAACTGTCAAACGTGGAGCAGGCAGCTGGTGTTCGCTGGAGCCGCTTCCCAGACCTCAATCGTCTCTTGAAGGGACATCGGAAGGGCGAGCTGACAGTCTTCACAGGTAACCTTTTGGGAACTCACTGCTTGGATGGGTTTGGGGGCAGAGGATTAGATGACTAAAGCATGTGGGTTTGGGCCATAGTAAATGTTTAAAAGGAGCCTTCCCCTCCCAACTTTGAAGCTTCTTGTGGACCTTGGTTTCAAGGTTAGGGCTTTACTCCCTCACCCAGGTCTGTGTTCAACCCCTGTGCAGGGCCAACAGGCAGTGGAAAAACAACATTCATCAGTGAGTATGCCCTGGATTTGTGTACCCAAGGAGTGAACACGCTGTGGGGTAGCTTTGAGATCAGCAACGTGAGACTAGCCCGTGTCATGCTGACACAGTTCGCTGTGGGACGACTGGAAGAGCAACTCGACAAATATGATGAGTGGGCTGACCGCTTTGAGGACTTGCCCCTCTATTTCATGACTTTTCATGGGCAACAGAGCATCAGGTGAGGTTTTCAGGCCTGGGGCTTTCAAAGAACAGGAGGGCAGGAGAACAGACTCCCAACAGTCTTCAGACTGCCATGATCTAGAGATTACTTGTAACTGACTCTTGAATTCATTGTCTCTTCCTCTTCCCAGGACTGTAATAGACACAATGCAACATGCAGTCTATGTTTATGACATTTGTCATGTGGTCATCGACAATCTGCAGTTCATGATGGGTCATGAGCAGCTGTCCACAGACAGGTGACATCCTCCTCTTGTCTAGCTGTAACCCACTTAAACACACATCTTCTCAGGCAGCTGGCCTCTGGGTAAACACTGTACTCTTGTTTTCTGACATATGTGCAGGCACATAGCTCTCTATATATATTTCTGTCTTTATAGAGGTGTGCAGTATGAACAGTGGTAAGTGTGGACAGGGATTTAAGTGTGAGTCCTTGGGTAAAAGGAAGTAGAGTGATGTTGTGGTAAGATATGAACGAACCAGGAGTATGTGTTCATTCTTGTCCTTCTGTGTCTGATAACCTCTTTGCTTTGTTGGGCAGGATTGCAGCTCAAGACTACATTGTCGGGGCCTTTCGGAAGTTTGCAACAGACAGTAGCTGCCATGTAACACTGGTCATTCACCCCCGAAAAGAGGATGATGATAAAGAACTACAGACAGCATCCATTTTTGGCTCAGCCAAAGTAAGTGGACTTTAGAAGATCTCAAGCTATGGAGAGTAGAGGGGGCAGGTATGACCAGGGACAGCCTTCATTCAGCCTTAAATCATCTTGACTACCCGTGTGGAACAGGCAGGAGGCAGCTGCCTCTGGAGTCATGACATGAAGAATACATATGCCAGAATAAGACAATGAGGGACTTCCCTGGTGGTGCACTGGTGAAGACTGTGCTTCCAATGCAAGGAGCGAGGGTTGGAGACCTGGTCAGGGAACTAAGATCCCACATGCCATCTAGCACAGCACACACAAAAAAAGAAGACAGTGATTACAACTCAATATGATAATACTTGGGGCTTCCCTTGTGGCTCAGCTGGTAAAGAATCCGCCTGCATTGTGAGAGACTTGGGTTCAATCCCTAGGTTGGGAAAATCCCCTAGAGAAGGGAAAGGCTACCTACTCCAGTATTCTGGCTTGGAGAATTCCATGGACTGTATAGCCCATGGGGTGGCAAAGAGTCGGACATGACTGAGCGAGTTTCACTTTCATGATAATACTAAGAACTATGATAGGCAGCACAGGTATTTGGGGAGAAAAGGCATCTGAGTCAGCCTGGGACATCTGGGGAGACTTCTTAGAAGAGGTGTCAACAAAGGTTGGGTTGGGTTTTGGCCAACAATAGGTATGAAATAAGCAAGTAAGTGGGAGGGCCCTCTGGACAGCAGGACTAGCCTGGGATCCTGGAGCTTCCATGGCACACTGAGTGAGTGCCTATTACATGCCAGGCCTGGGCTGGGCACAAGGAAGACAGGGCAAGGAACGCAAACTATGTGCCATGATGAAACGGACATGGAACTGGGGAAAAGAGTGACAAGTGGAAAGATGCTGGTGCCTTTTTTATTTATGGGTATCAAGAATGTTCTCTCCAGGGAAGTGAGACATTTAGACTGGGACCTAAATGATAAGGAGCTCAGGTTGAGTGAGGTAGCAAGCCCAAGGAGCCAGATGTGTTAGCAGCAGAGGGAACAGCATGTACACAATCTGGGACAGCAACAGGGTTGTCAGGGAACTAAAATACTCAAGTGACCCCAGCATTTTGGTCAGTAGTTTGGAGAACTTTGGTGACAGGGGAAGTACTTTTCCCTTCCCACATTCTTGCTATTCCTGCACGCTCAGCCTTCCTTTGTGCTTCTCTCATATATCTTCTTGCTCCTTCCTTCTGCCCCTTATCCCCCAGGCAAGCCAGGAAGCAGACAACGTTCTGATCCTGCAGGACAGGAAACTGGTAACTGGACCAGGGAAACGGTATCTGCAGGTGTCCAAGAACCGCTTTGATGGAGATGTAGGTGTCTTTCCACTTGAATTCAACAAGAGTTCTCTCACCTTCTCCATACCACCAAAGAGCAAGGCCCGGCTCAAGAAGATCAAAGATGACAATGGACTAGTGGCCAAAAAACCCTCTTCTGGCAAAAAGGGGGCTATGCCCCAGATCTCTGACACTTGTTCCAACCAGGCCCGCAACCCCAACCAGCCAGACTTCTCCAAGCCTTCAAGATGAAGACACTGCAGAACTGGGCATTGAAACAAGCTTAGCAGGACAGTCTTGGGTAGAGACTCTTAGTCCTCTGCTAGGGCTGCCTCTGTCCTGTAGTTGTGAGCTATGGGCCCCTGTCTCAGTCTGAGGGGCCTAGCATAGGGAATGGTTTCATTGTGAGAGAATTCAATTTAGCAAATATTTGAAAACCTACTATGTGCTGGGCTTGGTTCTAGATTCTGGGAGTATAGCACTGACAAGATAGATGAGGTCCCTGCTCCCATGGAACCTGTAATCTGGTAGAAGAGACAAGCTATGAGCAAACACACACAAAACATAGTTCTCAATAGTAAAAAAATGCTCTCAAGGAGAAAAATACAGTAATGCGATAGTGCTTGCAGGCTAGTTTAGAGTAGGATTTGAAAAGGTATCTCTGAGCAGAGGACATTTGAGCTGGGACCTCTAAAGAACTACGACTGAGCCATGTGAACATGTGGAGAGAGAGGAATCCAGGCAGAGGAAAAAGTAAATACAGAGGCCCTGAGGTGAGAACGAGCAAGTTGAGGTCAAAGCAGGGGGGTCAAGCTCCCTGAACCTGTAGGGGAATAGGGGAACTTCTTACCAAAACTGCAGCCTAGGCTCTCAGAGCCAAGGGGTGACATGGTAGACACCAAACTCCTCTACCTGCCACTCTGAAGCCTTCCCTGAAGTGGTGCTTACTACCATCTGATCTAGGTGCTTCACCCTTGTATTAATAATACCAGGGCTAGCTACAAAGGTGGAAGTCTGGAAGAGAGCCATGGAAGGGAGCTGTGAGCCCAGAGTGCCTGCCACCTAGACACTCATCCCATGGTATGCTGCCTCGGACTGCTGGAGTGGATGCAATCATGACTTTTTGTAGAGCCTTTTCCAGTTTTACTGAAAAAAAAGGAAATATATATATATATTTTTTCCCATTGCCTTTGTTACTCTGCTTTTTCTTATTTGACCACCAGGTGTCTCCCTAGTCTTTAACTGGATTTTCCTTGAACTGAATTGTCCTCTCTTTTTGAATTGGGAATGGATAGTTCCCCTCCCCCACTCCATCTGAGCTGCATGCTCCCAAGAAAGCAGGATCTGCAAGCATGCACACCCTTATACCTCTTCATGGCCCAGGGAAGACAGGATGGTGCTTCTTTATCCCTGTCTTCCCTGAGGATCTCCCATGTGAACCCTGGCAGAGGTGTGGGTCACTGGGCCCCATGCCTAAGACCTTGCCTGACCAGCTGTCCCTCTGTGATATGAGTCACTCAGTGGCCTCAATCATTGTGGATTCAGGCTCAGCATATTCTTATCTGCTCCCCACCCACTTCCATTTTCCTCTCCTTGTACCCTCTCCGGGTTTCTCCTATGTTAGTGTGTGTTAGAACTCGGTCTCTTGTTTAAAAGAGCAGAACCTAGGCCCTACTCTTCCCCCAGTCCTGACACACAGGCATTTCTGACTCTGGAGGTTTCAGGAGAGGTGCAGGACTCCTTGTTTTTAAGATACTCTGAAGGATATCGTAAAATAACTTATGCAGAAAGAGACCATGTCAGAAATATTGCTAAATGATAACACTTTCCCATGTTACTTCCTCTGATTTTCTAAAGTCTGTTTCCCTTTAGATTTGCCTGCAAGAGTATTGAGAATGCAAGATGTTCTAGGGCTGGGGAGAAGCCTTTTGTTAAGGGGGGTATTGTGAGGGGGGGGGAATGTCCTGCTTCCTGGAAGCAAGGCTGCCTTATCAAGCATTCCCTGTCAACCTAAGAGGGAGGTCTAGAACCCTGTGGAATGGTTTGGGGTCCCTGGTCTGTTGTGTGTGAGAACTATGACTACAATTGTCTCCTGAAACAGACCCTGGAACAAAGCTGTTCTTTGGGGGGAGGAGGGGGACCTCCTCCAGGGCCTCCCTTCTTGGGGGTCTCTCCCAGACTGGCTGGAGCCAGGCCTCCTAATCCTGCAGTAATCATTCCCAGCCGCTGGCTGGTCTAGGCCTCATCTAGGGTCTATAACGTTGAACGTCAGCCATGCCTTTCAGATGCACACTACCAGGTCAATCCTACCTTTAAGGATGTGGGTTCCACATTCTGGTCTTCTGTGCTCAGGAAATCCTTCAGGGATTTCCATTAGGGGACTTTTATGAGGTCTATGAATTGGGGATAGAGGGATAGATACACACTTGCCTGTCTTGCCCCACCCTCTTAGCAAACAGCCTACACAGCAAACCAGAATGGTAGCGGGGAGGGGGAAGCTAATGATCCCCCCAGGCCCACCCCCTACACACACATTCCATTCCACACCTGTCTTAAACTCCTCAGGTGAAAATTAGCCCAAAGTATTTCAGGAGCCCCTGGAGCTCAGAAAGTAGCAGTTAATCCCTGGTTCCTATGTAAGGTCCCTGCGAGTCACTGTTTCTATACCCCGCCAAAGTGGATTGAGGCAAACTGCCTGGGCTAGAACCAGTACTCAGCCTGTGCCCAACTGGAATCTTCCTCAGAGCTGAGGGACAGCCTGGCCCAGTAGAGTCCAACTGGATCTGCAGCCTTGTCCTCAGATTCACTAACCCACTTGGCTGTGAGGGGGCAGTTTTGGTCCTCCATCCCTTCACTCGGGATGGGTGTGAGAAGAGACTCAACTCAAAAGATTCCTGCTGCCCAAGTACTCAGGCTGCAGATATGACCCAGATACCTGTAGACATCACGGTCTGCCCTCCCACAGGCTGCCTTGGGTGCCATGGAGGGAGGGAGCCTTTGGTGCAGTACAGGTCAACTTCCTGTTTGTGCCTGTGGGTGGAAATTTATAAGTCTAACAGAAGCCTGGCCACACTCTGTGGGGGGCCAGAACTGGCAAGCCTGCTCACCTGGGCAGACACCTACTCCAGGGGAGGGGGGAAGTGTTGGTTCTGCTTGAGCAGCCCCAACCTCAGAGGTGTGTGAGAGAAAGGGCGGGATCTGTTTTGGTGAAATCCGAGCTTTCTTTGTCTGCTTCCCAGGGGTTTTCCCTGTGTCTGGGGAGTGGGCCGAGAGTGGACCAGGCTGGGCTCCCTATAGACCAGAGGATAGTGGCAGTAAAGCCCTATAGCCAACTTGGTTAGGGCAGCCAGGCAGCTTAGCTTAGCTGTGGCGCCGCTGGCCCCTTCCGAAATCAAAAGCCAGTTCCAGAAGCTGCGAAGTCAGAAGTCCGAGGGGCAGTCTTGGGCCACCGTCGCGACACTGCTTGGCAGGGTACCAGATCCGCTGCTGAGGGGGTGCTGGGCAGACCACTCCCCTGCCTTGGTCGGGGGCGCGGCTTCAGCCGCCCCGCCCCCTCCACCAAGCCTGGGCCGAGAGCGCTGGAGAGCCGGCGAATCTGCGGCCAGGAGGTGCCGGCCCTGGATCAGGATCCTGGCGAGAGCTGGAACGGCGGTTCAGGTAGCGCTGGGTGAGTGAGTGGGGGCGCCGCGGCGGTGTAGGAACTCTCGCCTCCTGCACACCCCCGCCCCGGAGTGAACTTTCCCAATCCCGGGAAGCGGGCGATTGGGGTGAAGAGACTGGTCTTCAGTCCAGGGTCCGCGGGCGAAGAGTCTGAACAGGGAACGTACACGAAAACTCACACCGACGGGCGCACACAAACGTGCACACAGACAAACGCACGTACTGAAGAAACCCGAATACACGTGCACTGCGGGACGGACGCGCTCATAGAGTTTCGCTTGCTGCCGGCGGATCAACGCCGCTGGCCCGCGCGGACCCCCAGCGGGCAGGGTTTGCTGCCGTCGCGTACTTGACGAGGGTGGGAGAAAAGGGCCGCCCAGTGACCGCGGACGGGGGCGGGCCAGGTGGGACGCCTCCGGAGGTTCCGGCTTCCCTGCTTCCCGCAGGTGAAGATTAAGACGTAAACAGACGTTGAGCACGTGATCGCTTCGCAGACCCATGGGCTGTACTGGGGGAGCCTCGCGGCGGGAACCTCCCTCCCCCATACTAAGCGAGTTTGAAAGATACCTTGCCGGGCTGTATTCCACTCTCCACCTCGAGGGGATAAGCCCCTCCCCGGGAATGGGAGCACAACGCCCCCTGGAGTTGGGGTAGTGCAGGAGGACTACCTGGGAGGGTTGGTTACCTGGGCTCCTCACCTTCCTTCTCCGGAACATGTTGCCTCCATTCCTGAAGGTACCCGAGGGGGGCGCAATTCTGCATGGCAGTGTACAGCAGCCTCCGCTGGGACCTCCAGCCCCGGGGAGCAGCTGCGCGAGGGCCTGTGTGTCGTCTTTCTTACTACACTCCTCCTTGCGGAACTGAGAGCTCCTCCCCTCAAAGTAGGAGCAGAAAGCCCACTCACGCAAGAGTGGGAGCCCCCATTCCCCAAAGAATGCATGACCGTACACATCCTCTCTATACCAGAGTGGGCCTATCTCCCTCTGATAGAAGGGAGCACAGCCCCCTCCCCCCAGCGAATGAGTGAGTGGGCAGCGGCCCTCGGCCTCCCCCCCCCCCCCCCCCCCCCCGGGACACACACACTCACGCTGAGCCCAGCTGCTGCCTGAGCTTCTGGGCAGGCTGCCAGAAAGGGGAGGAGGCTCCTGGTGCCCCAGGAGGCTGGGATCAGGGCAAGGCCAGAAGAGGGGGTCTCTATGTGTGTGGGGCTCAGTCTGTACTTGTGAGGCAAGAGGGTCTAGGGTGAGCCTGAGGGTGGCTGGGCTATGTTTCCCTTTCCAGGGAAAAAGAAAGAAAACAACTCTTTCCATGGAGCTAAAAATAGAGCTGAGAGCCGGCCAGGCTGCGGCCTGGAAGGGTGGGGGGTGGGGGAGAATGCTCCTTCCTGGGGCAGAGGAGCTCTGGCTGGCCTTAGTTCTGGGGGGGGCGGGGTTAGGGGGCAGGAGGCTGTCCTTGCCCAGGGATGCGGGCATCAGCTGACCTGGCTAGGTCACAGAGACCCCTATGGGAAAGTCTGTGTGATAAAATGTTTGTGAAATACGACGTATGTATGTTTAAGAAGTTGTCTTTGTGACTGTGAAAAAGACTGTCAGTGTGAAAAATGCTTGGGAGACAAGTATATTCAAGATTGTGACTGGGTGCAAAGGAACTTGAGCTGTGAAAGCTTATGCACAACTAGCCGTCACACCGAGTGTTTCTCTGAGTTGGCCTGATTATGGAAAGAAGGGACATGGAACCTTCTGATGTACCAGACAGACTGAGTGATTGTGTCTGAGACTGAATGTGGGAAAGGTCGTGTGGGTGTTTAGATTGTGTTGTTTGCCAGAGGGTGAGAGTATCCCTGACCCTGAGAAGACAGTGGAACGTTGTCTGCTGTGAGGCTGGCGTAAGCTTGGCCTGTAGGTTTGGACCAGCTCACCCACTAGGGTGGCTTTTGGGGGCCCAGGGGACGTCTCTCTGTGAGCACTGACCTCTTAGCAAATGTCTCTGAGGGAAGGTTGAGGAGCAAAGAACCGCGCTCGAGGAAGGCCTGGACTCTCCGGAGAGGGAGTACAGCACTGGGGAGAAGGGTAGGGGCCCCCCAAGGTTGGGGGTGGCTGGGTGTGTTCTCTGAACGCGCCGCCAGGTGGCGCCGCCTCCGCAAATCCTAGCGTGCCTTCTGCAAGTCGCTGGGGGTGGGGCAGGCACCCACCAAGCTTCGGCCCCCGACTTGTGCTGGGACGCAGGGCCCAGAGTTGGGTGCAGGTGACCCTCAACCTCCCTCTCTGGACTCTGAAGCCGGAGAGTGTGCCTGGGGGTGAGGCATCGACTGGAGGAGCGGAGGGGGAAGGGCGGCCGCCGCGGCGCCTGGCCCTTTGTGCTCGAACAATGACCAGCTGCCGCTGGCCCCGGGGCCCAAGTAGGGGTAGAGGGTGATTCGCCGTCGCCTAGTCCTGAGCCGACCGAGCCCCAGACACACAATCATCGCGCCTCGGAGGGAGGGAATCTGAGTCCCGCTGCGTAGCTCCAGCGTGCGCCCCACCGGACACGCGTGACGCCGGGTGCCTGCGCGAGTCCGCGCCCCGGAGGCGGGGTCACCCCTCGGACCCTCCCCCGCGCTGCACCGCCCACTTGGGCCGGGCGGGGGCCGGGCCGGGCCGGGGGCGCCGCGGAGGCGGGGCCGGGTCGGACCTGGCCGCTCCAAGTGGCCGCGCGCGGCAGGCTGGAGCCGGGCGGCGAGCCTGTGGAGCGCTGGGGGCGGCCCGGGGCTGAGCATGGAGCGGCGCGGTGGAGGTGAGGGGGGGGGGCCGGGGCTGGGAGGCGACCTGGGGGCGCCCCCAACTTCTGCGCGGCGGAGGTCCCTTGGGGAGGCCGCATTCCACAGCTGCCCCCACTTTCTGGAAGAGGCGGAAGGAGGGGGGTGAACTCCGGAGGGCGGATTGGGGGCTCCCGGCTTCCTGTCTCGTAATGGAAACTCGTGATCCCAGACTTGATCCCGCTGGATGGTGCTGGAGTTTGGTGAGGGGGAGACTTTGCCGAACTCTTCTGCCCCCAAAACAGGTCTGTGGGAAACTCAGACCTCGGCCAGACCTCCCTCGGGCCCCAGCTGGATCCAGCCCTCAACCGCCCCCGGCCCACCGAGCAGGGCAGTGTGTGCTGTACCGGAGCGGTTTCTCAAGGATGTTGGGGAGTGCGAGGGGTTCCCTTCTCACAGCCACAAACGCATTTCTCAAAATGGAGCCTCCACTTGCCCCTCCTTTTCTCTCAGGCTCCAAGAGCGGGAGCCGGGCTGGCTGGGCCTGGCTTTCCAGGCGCCTGGCTTTGGCTCCGTGGGTGTCTGGCTCTCAGGGCCCAGCTCAGCGTCTTTTCTCGGTTTAGGGGCCCCTGGCTTCGCGGGGACCCCGGCTCAATGGGTCCGCCTGACCCTGGAGCCGCTCTTCGTCTTTGTCTCTTGTCTTTTGGGTCCCTGTCTGAATCTCTGTCTCCTCCCCTCAGTTTCCACTTTCTCTGTGTTCACTGAAGTGGGCAAACACCGAGATGCCAGCCCTCTTGGCCCCTTAGGGGAAGCCCCTTCCCCACCGTTTCCTGCATGCCCTGGATAGTCTGGGAGAGGGCAGAGGAGAGGGTGTTCTTTCGCCTTTGCTCAGGACTGGCACTTGTGGGGTGGACTCAGACCCCACCCCTGCTCCGAGGGCACCAGTCACCCCCACCCCTGGCTCCCAGCTCCTCCTCCCTCAGTCTGGACACCTTCCTCCAGATCTTTTGACTTGAGCGGGGAGGTGGGGGAGGGTGGACTTAACGGAACACCAGCAAGAATGAAGGAGAGCAGATCAAGCAAAGAATAATGTCTCTCCTCTCCACACACTCCAGTGAGTGACAAAAACCAGGCTCCCACTCACCCATTTGGCCCTGCGTGCCACCCAGACTCTCACCCTCTCACATGCACACACAACCCTCTGTACACACTTGTGCACTATTTCCTGTTCACACACTTGTGTAGGATACATAAACTCATGTATATATGAATGGACATCAAACCATTCTCTGACATAGTCACACTCATACATCACAGATTCACTAATGTATGCATTTATAATTTTCACGTACTTTCTGAGAGAGTTGCACAGATTTTTGTAAGGTATGCCCATATGAGTTCATATATATATATACATGTATATATCTGAATGTATTGATACATCTATCCAAACATACATGCATACACTCATGTTTTCACACACAGTGCTCATGTTCATGTTCTTGTGCAGTTTCACACGCACAAATAAGTAAAGTGCATACACTCCTACTCCTACGCGGTTCTCTGTCCACTTCTTGGCCCCCGCTCTGCATGATGACTTCAGCAGATGCCTGAGTCCTGGTCTTCAGCCTCAGGACTGGGGAGGGAGTTCCGGGTGGAGGCTTGCTATCTCCTTCCAGGAAGGAGCAGGGCCTGGGAAGGTGGAGCCCTCTTCCCTGGAGCAGCTGCCAGAGGTGATGGTAGAGCCTCTATCCTCATCCCTTTGGAGTTACTCTGGGGAATGTCGAAAGCTAAAAGGTTTCATAGAGGTTGGCAGTGGGCCTGTGGAGGCTTCTTTAGGCCTGACTGACTGGGTGCGGTGAGGCTAGGAATTGTCATGGAAATAGGCATGAGCCTGCATCCACCTCTGGGAAGCAGGAGACCCCAGAGGGCACCTGTGGGCTCCCTAAGAGCTCTGGTTCTTGTTTGACCAGCTCCACCCTTGCCGCCTCTCTGTCTGGGAGAAACTGAGGCCCAGCTACATGAGGCTGGGCACTGCCTGGCCTTAGCTCTTTGTTCCCTAATTACCATTTGAGTTGCTGACTGCACCCCTGAGTTTGCCGAGACTGCATCTAATGAGTCCACCTTTCCCAGGGGGCCAGGGACCAGTGCCGGGAGCTGGTACAGAGGGCTCCCTCCATGATTCCTGGCCTCTGTGGGACCCCCATTCCCTCATCATCCCTGCTTGATAGATTCAGTCCTCAGCCCTATTCAGCCCAGAATTGGGCAGTGGTCTGGGGCCCAGGGAGGATGGAGGTTCTTGCCAAGATGCAAGAGGGGATGTGTTAGAGGGAGGAGATCAGTGCTTTTCACTGATTTTGGGTGGACTGTTTGACCTGAGACTAAGGACCAGGAGGGACTCAGGACTTTATCCAGGGAGGGAGCTCAAGATAGAGAGACTGATGCCACTTCTCTGCTCACAGGTTTCCCTGGAGGCCCTTGGCCAGGCCTGAGCCTCTGCTGCCATGGCCATTGTGCAGACACTGCCAGTGCCACTGGAACCCGCTCCTGAGGCCGCTACTGCCCCACAAGCACCAGCCATGGGCAGTGTGAGCAGCCTCATCTCAGGCCGGCCCTGCCCTGGGGGGCCGGCTCCTCCTCGCCACCATGGTCCCCCTGGACCCACCTTCTTCCGCCAGCAGGATGGGCTGTTGCGGGGCGGCTACGAGGCACAGGAGCCACTGTGCCCAGCTGTGCCCCCCAGGAAGGCTGTCCCTGGTACTAACT